GAAGGAAATAAAATTTAACTAAAAAAGAGTATGTTTAACATCACTGAACAAGCCGGGAGAAAACTAGGTAATCCTGGTTAAAGATAATGCTGCCTCCTCCTGTCACTGTTAGGCTTTCCACATTCATTACGACAGGGAGAGGTGAAAGGTCTGTTTTTCACTCTTTCATTTGAAGCGACACTTTGAAGTTACCTACACATCAGAGTCACTATTTGCTGGTCACCTCTCCCATATGTCATCTTATGCTCTTTTGTAATAGGGCTATTAAAAACCATGTGTTTTCACTTTTTTTTTTTTTTTATAAAAAAGAGTAACTTATAACTGAGCAGAGACAAAGGCTCTGTTGATAAAAAAACATGTGGATTAAATCTGAAAGGAGAAAGAAAGCTGTTCTATTAAGCTGACAATCCTACACAGAGGGCTTATATCTAAATTGGTGCAATAAATCAATAGGAAAGATTTCTTTGGCTGAAACAACCATTTATTTAGGCATGGAACAAGAGCATTTTTAAATTGCTCTGGACACAGCACACAAAAGGGCTTCTTCAGTTTCGTTCTTGCCCTCCCCCCCACCCCCTTTTTATTGCCAAAGATTTGCATTTGCTTTGCTTAAAAATATTTATATTTTGGGACATAAACTTATGACAAATTGGACAGGTAGCACCACTGGGCTCTTAGATACTGAAAAAGTAAAGAAGTGCTCACTCCATTTACCTTATTACATTAGGCAAAGGACTGGCCTAAACTTATGCTTTCCCCCATTATGTTCCTGTCCTGTGTTTTCACAAGCACAGGTTCTATTTTGCTTTTCAAACTCTGTTAGAAGAAGCTTTTTAATTCTTACTCAAGAAGGAAACACTCTTCAGTTGTTGCTACCTACCCATGTCAGGAAGCAGTCTCTCCCACGTCTGCTGAGACCAACAGAATATCCTGCCATGTCAGGATGGGAGTCCTTAGATAGACACTACGCACAGGGAGGTGCTCAAGAAACTACAATCACCATTCTCAAAATACTGCCCAGAAATAATGCATTTGGTCTCCAGATCCCAAAGCCGTTGCTGAGGCACGCTGAAAAACAAGGAGGACTTGGCAGAACATTTTAAGTACGACACTGATTGTAACTATAGATGGGACTAAGAACTGCAACCATCTCTTTTAATTAAAATCAGATGGTACCTGGAACTGATTTGAGAGCTAAAGCAGAGATGACACTAGCATCTACTAATTACATTTGATACATACATGAAGATGGCATTGGCTACCCTATGCAAACATGTCACCACACAACTCCAGCTAGTGTTCAAAGAATGACAAAGATAAAAACATAAATCATCGTAAAAATAAACTGTCAGTTCTACGGAAATGTTCTGTGAGAAAACATTTGTAGGAGATGCTACTCAACACTGGAGAAACGTATTTCATTCCAGTGTGCTGGAGCTTCTCTTCAGCACATTTTTTAGATGTCATTGGCTGCAAGATTAATGTTATTTTTTAGAATACCCAAACTTTATGCGTGGTAAAACATGGGAGGGCATCTACACGTGGCATGGAGTAATAACACTGAGGGGATGAAGACTTCAGCTGATGCTTCTGTCTTTCAAAATGTTGTTCCTAATATTATTTACAGAAATCACAGGAGATGAGCTTCTTCAAAACCATTAAAAATACATTCCGCAGCCCAACAGATGAAAATACTTTAGGCTCCCTAACTGTTATCTTCTGCCAGAGAAGTCCTTATTTATTCTCTTTCACCTTAAATTCCATTTGCCAGTCAAGCAAACAAAAGATTCCTCCAAACTACAGCTGACGCAGTTACTTGGGCACCATGCCCAGCTGCTGGACAAGCCAGCCCACCTGCCTGCCCTGTTCTCAGGGCACTGCCGGGGCAGAGTGGCAGCCCCGTGGCCAGGTCTGGGCTGCCCAGCCTCCCGGACCTGCTGCCTTTGCCCAGAGAATCTGCTACTGCCACCGGCCCACTGGAGGTGGAGCGCAATCAGGAGCACGGGGATCACAAGTGCACACAGGCTGACCGCTGGAGGCACGAGCTCTTGCGCCCTAAAGGCAACAACACCAGGGACACGGCACCCAGGGTGCCTGCTCTCGTCTAGCATTTTGTCCTCCACACAAAGCAGTTACTGATAGACCAGAGCTTGGTAACTAACTGTACCTACAGAAGATCGGGTCTTAAAGAATATTAGCAATTACAGACTTCTTGCAGTCTACAGTCTCAAAGGAAAAACTGAGTTTCTGAAGCTACTCAGCCACGACTTTACTGCAAGAGCAAGCTCCTGCTGCTCATCTCATGCAAATCAACTGTGCTATGGTCTGCACCAGTGTTCCTTCCCATGCATCTGCAACCACGCACAGGGGCCATATTGGAGCTCTGCTCCTGCTGCCTCCTCCTCTACCATTTACACAGGATGGACACTGAGGACTCCTGGGAAGGAGCTTCTCAGCTTTCCACCCTTAATCCAAGCAACCATTCTTTGCCAACAAGGCTTACAAGGAGACACGCTAGTGGGACAGAAAGAGCAAATGCAAGAGAAGATAAAAATTAGGGAAAGTAAAAGATGGCCTGGCAAGTGTTAGATTTTCCTTATTGTTCTACCTTAATTTTGGGAAGCAGACCCTCACAGATATTACAGTTCATGGAAGCACTACACAGCCATTCAGGATACCAAACAAAGTACAATCTTCTACCTATAGTACAGATACCACCTTGATAAACTCTCTGGCTGTCAGTGTCTACCATCTCTAAGGCACAGCTGCCACCTCTGCGAGGTGAAGCCAAGCTCCTGGCAGACAGACCTGCCAGTCCCAGCTGGGAGGAACCCATCCCAGTACGGAGATGGTCAGCCAGCCAGAGGACTGGTTTCTGGCCATAGCTGTCACTACTCTATTCTGTGACCACAAGCAAATCACAACCCCATGCGCTGCCTCTTCAGAGGCACTGCTGAGTGCCTACACAGAACCCAGCCAGCAGCAGAAATGCTAAGACAGAATAGGGAATGGAAAGGCAAAGTAAAGCAATATATTAAAGCTGAGGTTTGTGCACAGTAGGCATGGTTCCAGCACAAGACATGCACTTTAGTTTAGCCAAGCCTATCCAGTGTGGGTATGATTCAGTGCTAATTGCTCAGAAAAATGTTTCAAGTTACACCGGTTTGGTATGCTTTTTTAAAAGCAAAACAAGGTATGTTTTAGGCAAAGCTAAGATTCTGTTTATGTTTACAGACAATCTGACTCCTGCACATAAAGGATGTTGCTCCCTGGACAAAAACTAAAAGCATCAAGAAAAGTCAAAACTAATGCAAATGATCAGGCTGTATAATCTTGCCAGAATACAAGAAGCACGAAAACGCTTGAGCAATAATCATTCTCTTAAATTCAACTTCCTTGACTCCTGCTTTGTTCAATATGTTAATATATTAAAAAAAAATAATAAATAAAATTCAGATTTCTAAGAACATTTATATATATTGGCAAATTGTCCTAAGGTAAAAATCATTATGTTTTTTATTATGGAAGGAAAGTGAAGTAAGACACAGTAAGCAATTTGTCAGAGTTACAGAAGGAACTCATGTAAGGGCTGGAATCAAAATCCAAGTTTCTGAAGCAACTTATTGTTTCTAAAGGAGTTTTTTTAAGATGGCAGCAATACAAAATAGTTCTCAAAAGAACATACATTTAGGATCAAGATAGTTTATGGGGCAAAGGTCATGAGAAAAACAAGCTAAATGAATTAATCCACTGTTGGAAGACTACAGCGAATTATCTAATAGATTGCTGCTATCTTCCATATACAGTGCTAGCATTAAATCAGCCTACAGTATAGTCATTTTTGCATTGCATCACAAGATAGTGTAGCATATAGAGTAATCCATCTCAGGCTTCAAACTCTCTCCTCTGGAGCAGCAAGTAACATTTCCACCAGTACTTCTTTTCCTCCAAAGAGGATGTGGTGAATGCTGTCTGACAGCATGAGTCTTGCCATGCGTTATTCAAGAGTGCCCTCTAACGAAGCTGCAGCTGTATTTCAGAACACGTACACAGGAAACTAGAAAAATGCAAAATGAGACTTTCCAGAAATTTCTCATTAAACTCCAAGCTTTGCTTTCGAACAAAAGGGGAAAACAGGTGATACACAGTGACTGGTAGACTGCTGCTGTACAGACATTTTATATTGTGCAAGCCCTCATTGAGGTAAATACATCAGTGGACAGCAGAACTAAAGAGAAAGATCGAAAAATTCAGAGTTCTCTCTTTCTGACTAAAGAAAGGATACTGAATTAGATGACACCCCAGTTGTAAGACTACAATTTAAATATAAACTGAGTTCCACACAATCTGCTTTATCTCTAAGGAACTGCTCAATCTTTACAAAAATAGCTGAATATCATGAATGAAGTTCACAAATCAAAATTGAATCCTCATAAAACTATTCCCTATTACATTGCAGTACTATAAAAATATTGCTTATTTGAAAGGAGGTCTTCATTTAATGGTGGTTGAACAAACTACAATGATGAAACAAAACCTGCTACAAGTTTGTACAACTGTTGTTTTGTTTACTGTCAAGTTCACTGTCACCTACCTACACGAACACATGCATTAGCAAAACATCCTGTGAACAAAAGCTGCTTGTAATACTTGCAGAAGCAAACTTCACACAGAAAAGCTGACACCATTCACTGAACAGAAATTAACCTTAATAATCTCACTGTCAACTTGTTAGAACGGGACTGTACCACTCACAGGTCTGCCCCTAACTATCCGCAGAGGGCACAGCTTCTAGGTGTGGGGGCAGTGCAGTCACAGCAGCCTTAGCAATCACCTCCCTCTCCCTCCCAGCCCATTCCACAGCAAGGCACACCACACTCAGCCGTCCCCCAAACACCCATGCATAAGGAGGAAGAGATGCACAAAGTAGTAAACATTAAAACTGATCATCTTCTAAGCCTGGATAAGACAGGGGCTAGCAAGGGGTATGAGCTCCTTACATTGTATTGCCAAATATGTGGTTTGCCCCCGTATCATCAAAAGCCTTTGAACAGATTCAGGTCTGGAGACTTGGCAAACTCACCCCGACGGCCAGTGACCTGACCCTGCTATCTGCTGGGTGACGTCTGGGATGCCAGTGCTGTGCAGCCCTGCAAGGAAACAAACAGGTCTGCTGTTAGCACACTGAGCTTTTTGTACACACAACACCTGTGCTCCACTGAAGCAATTGTATCTAAGCGAGCACTTCCACACCCAGTTAAGTGTTACCTTGCAAAGACCGGGATTCAAGCAAACAGTAAGTGTTTTCTTGAAATAGGGCCTTAGATACTTGCCAATGTTTTTACTTCTTGCTAAACATCTTTACTGTAACATTGAGATCATGTGGCTAAGAACCACAAGGGACTAGAAAGACCACACAGATGTTATCAAATGTTACCTTGAGACCCACTGTCCCAATCCAGGCTCAGTGTCCACTTTAACACAATTAGATCTCCCCTCCCATTTATCTGGATCACCCACTGGCAACAATAGCTTACAAAACAACAAAAAAAAAATAAAATCACACAACAAAGCTTTAAAATGTGGCTGCTAAAAAGAGCTTAGCACAGTCTGAAACAGCAGCCATTTGCTCTGTAAAGCAAGACTGCACTCCTCATCTCAAAAAGCCAAACTGATTTCCCTTTAGTTTGTAACAGTGGGATACTTCAGTCCCTGGGGAATACTTCCCCAAAATTTACAGAGATTTGTGTAACCTAAGAAGCCCACGTGGCCCAGTGTGATATGCAAGCACTCCCCAAGCAGGGCACAGTTCCTCCTGTGCTCTCTCCCACATTTTCAGACATTCCTCACAGCACTGTTATGTCCCAGCCAACTTTTTTCCTGACTTAACAGTTTATTCCTTGAGGAGGTTCAGGCAGAGTTTGACATTAAAAAGATCAGTGGTGGATAGTGTCCTGGATGTTTAGAAAAAGGGATTTTTTTTTTTTTATGAACATGTAACCCAAACAAGGCTCAATGAATTTCCATGAAAATCAGACATGATCACAGAGTGCCTTTAGAACCACATAGCAGAAAGTTTCAGTGCAGAATGAAAAAGATAAGCACAAGAAAAAACTGAAACTGAAAATTAAAACATTTTGCAATCTGAGCTATAATTACTGCTAAGAGAGATATCACATCGTGCTTTTGTGTGTGTGTGTGTGTTTTTGTTTTTGAAAGTATGATAATGAATACAATTATTAGCTAAAACTGAGACTAGGCAATTCACACCCAGCAAAAGTTTAAAATAGTAAAGGTTATTGAAAGACATAATGAGTACCCAAGCTGCACAGCTGCGTGCAGAGCTACAGGGGCAACTTCTTGTAAAGCCTTTTGCCTTCTGGAGGTAAGAGCAACAACAGCCAAGAGTAAATCCATGGATTGTATGGATGCAGCTAAACATAAAACAGGAACATTATTTTAATTAGGGAAGAAGTCTAAAATGACAGCAGCCACACATTTACACTTAACACAAAGTCTGACCATATCTTTGGCACAGTTGGAGAGGTAGCTAAGAGAGAATGAACACGTTACAATGCATGCAATACCTGGAGAGCTGCACATAGCCTCTGCTGCTCTAGCTTGTTAAGGTAACAAGAACCACCTTGCTCAGCTTAGCAGCAGGCCCTTGCTAAATGCACAACAGCCAGATCTCACCTACACTGGTATAAATCTGCTTCCATGAGCTGAAATAAGCTGCTGTCATGAACACACTCAGTAATGGGTTAGGACTGGAGCACTGAATAGGGAACCTGGTTTCTATACTACCACATAAAAATGAGACACTGACACTATTTTTTTTTTGGTAGTTATCAACACTAGCAACTGTCTCGAGACACCAACTTTAACCATGCCTTATACCTTAGTTTCGAAACAGTTTCTAGTGCTGTTGCTGTCTAAATGTTTATACAATTGTAAATTAGAACTTTCTTTTGCTTGTTTCTTTCATTATTTATATTTTCTTCATTAGCAACTTTCTTCTTCCAGATCCAGTGTTGCAACTTGAAGTATAGGTAACACGCAAGTTTAGTGCCAGACAGACAAGGAACAGGATTCTCATGTTTTACAGGTAGTAAAAGGGCAGAAGTTGAAGGATTTTTAGTTGCTTCTGGTATGATCAGATTCCAAAACAAATTGCTCTACACATTTTTATTGCAGAACACAATGCAAAAAGGATTATTGTAATAAATAAATACATAAAATCACGGTGTTGTGTTTTTTTTTTCTTATATAGAAATTTGTTTGAGAATAGCAACAGCCTCAACCCTCAAACAGGTCTAATGCTACTTTGAGCAAAAACCAAGGACTATGTCCAAAGTGTCATCCCAAGTGAGTGGCAAAGTTGAGACAAAATAAGCTATTAGTTACATGAGTAGGGGTTATTTTTGTTTATTATCTGCAGACTGTAAGGCATTCTTTGCCTTAATTCATCTAGCAGGGAATTCACACAGCTCGGAAAGAGCACACTACTCCTGATCCCAAGCATTTGGACAACACTCCCACCTTTCAGGCCCAAGTTAATGCCATTTAGTGGTGTTGCATCACTAAACCTGCATGTGGAATCACCATCGACCTGTTTGAGGGTTGAGGCAGTTGCTATTCTCAAACAAATTTCTATATAAGGAAAAAACCACTGTGATTTAATGTATCGCCGAGGCGATCGGCTCCAGGGCAGATGCATTCTGCAGCGGAGCAGGGGATCGAGGTGAGTAGGGCTTTTTTTTGGCATCGAGACCACTCGAAGCAGCCAAGGGAGCCACCAGGACCCAGCAGCCCTCACGAGGGAGGCTGACGAGGTGTTGGCGTCCATCAGTGCTGGTCAATCTTTAAGCACTGCCTCCTAAAAGCACAAGATCAGGCAATTCCAAAATATCAGAGGTCAGACAGGCAGGGCAGAAGGCCAGCCTGGCTGACCAGGGATCTTCTACTGGAGCTTAGGTGAAAAAAGAAAAGTGTACGGCTGCTGGAAGGAGGGTCAGGCAATGTAGAAGGAAAACAGGGATACTGTTCGCGTTTGTAGAAAGAAAATTTGTGTGGCCAAAGCCCAACTACAATTGAAGCTGGCCAAGTCTGTGGGAGACAATAAAAAGTTTTTTTTTAAATATGTAAATAGAAAAAGGAGGACCAAAGAAAACATAGGTCCACTACTTGATGGGGAAGGTCACCTCACAGACAAGGATAGGAAAGCAGAGACATTTAATGCCTTCAAAGAATCATAGAATCATAGAATATCCTGAGTTGGAAGGGACCCTTAAGGATCATCAAGTCCAACTCTTGACACCGCACAGGTCTACCCAAAAGTTCAGACCATGTGACTAAGTGCACAGTCCAATCTCTTCTTAAGAGAAGAGCTTCTCTTCTCTTCTTAAGAGAAATCTCTTCTTAAGAGAAGGCTCTTTTTAAGAGCCTTCTTTGCCTCCATCTTCAACACTGATGATGGGCTTTGGGACCCAGCATACAACTTAACAAAAACATCATACAATGGGTGAGCAATTGGCTGACAGGTAGGGCTCAAAGGGTTGTGGTAAATGGAGCCACATCAGGCTGGTGGATGGTCACTAGTGGGGTCCCTCAAGTACTGCATGCAGTTCTGGGCACCACAGCAAAAAAAGGATGTAAAACTTTTGGAGAGTGTCCAGAGGAGGGTGACGAAGATGTGAACGGACTAGAGGGGAAGACGTATGAGGAGCGGCTGAGGTCACTGGGCCTGTTCAGCCTGGAGAAGAGGAGGCTGAGGGGGGACCTCATCGAGGTCTACAACTTCCTCGTGAGGGGGAGTGGAGGGGCAGGTGCCGACCTGCTCTCCTTAATCACCAGTGACAGGACCCACAGCAATGGTGTCAAGCTGAGGCAGGGAAGTCTACGCTTGACATCAGGAAGAGGTTCTTCACAGACAGGGTGGTCGCACACTGGAACGGGCTCCCCAGGGAGGTAGTCCCTGCACCAAGCCTGTTGGAATTTAAGAAGCATTTGGACTGTGCACTTAGTCACATGGTCTAAACTTTTGGGTAGACCTGTGTGGTGCCAGGAGCTGGACTTGATGATCCTTATGGGTCCCTTCCAACTCGGGATATTTTATGACTCTATGAAAAGAAACAAGACTTTCATCCTCTTGGAAAAGAGCTTTCCAGACTTCTCTTCTGATATATGTATAACTGGAGTTTCTCTTCAACCTTCCCTTATCCCATGCATACATGCTCCCCTCTTTCATTACCTCTTGGACGAATTTTTCAGGCTTTTTAAATCACTGATGTCTACCACAGTTCTTCCCACACTGTATTAATTTACTAAAAATTAATTCAATTAAAAGTTGAAAATGGGAAGCAGAAAGATGCTCAGCAGTTAGCATATCTCATTTCTGTTAATGCAATTCTATTCCTCTGATATGCTTTTCAGTTAATTATGGTCACCCCTTTCTCCAATGCACACAATTACAACAGGGAGCTCCCTCTGTAGGCTGTCTTTATTTGACTGCATAGCATCAAGCACCTGGAGGCAGCTACAAAAAAAGTAAGAATTATTTTTTTAAGCCACTGGCATACTGCTCAAGCTCAGTAATTGCCTTTGAATTGAATTATTAAAACTTGGTTCAGGGAAAGAACGCTTGCTGTTTCTTAGTTAGCCCAGGGGCAGCCTGTGTCCCCTCATCCCTGCTCTTCTCAGGTTCCATCACTTCACGTATTTCAAGTATTCAGGGCAAGTTTGGGCAAAATTACTTTACACAGGAACAACTGCTTTGGTTGCCAAAGAGCCTAGATGAACGGACCAGCTCCTCTTAATAACTGTGAACTGACCTACCTCTCTGCATTAAGCTCTGAGCGCTGCTGGGTATATACTCAGCAGACAGAGAATACCCACTTCTCCTTTTCCTCACAACATAAGTTACTTTTGTTTTCTGCTCTGATGCAGTTTCATATGAGCAGCATATTCAGCTCCCTTGACAAAGCTGAGAAGTTTGTTCTAACTGATAAACTGTAAACACCAACTATTTTCTGTGTGTTATGATTACTTGTAGCAGACGGCATTTTCTGACAGATCATTTTACATTCTAGATTACATGTTTCGCTGGTTCTACTCCACATGCTAAAATTGCTGATTATTCCTGCTCTATTGTTTGCACATAAACAGTGAGAAAAACCATGGGAACAGAAGTCATGGCTATTAGTGACACTTGTGCCAAAAAGCTGTCATGCAGCCATGAGTGCAGGCTTCCAAAGAAAACCAGAAAGAACACCAAAAAACAGAATCCTATGTGAAGTGGTTTCAGTATTCATGAAAGTAAGTACAGGAGGCTATTTTTTTTTTAATCAAAAGTCATGATTTCTGAATGAGTCAACAGATCTTCTAGTTGAGTCCATCATCTCATACACTTTTTATAAAACCTACTACCCTGAAAGCACTCTCATCCTCTCAAAACAACAAATAGATCCACCCTTTGCAAGAACCTGGTGAAATAGAAACAGTGTCAGCAGAAAGTCCCAGCATGAAAACTGTATTCTTGCTGGACGTGAAAAAACTCTTCTCGTGCATTAATCAGACTCGTCTGGAAACCCCTTCCTGACCTCAAACATGGAGCAGATTGCAAGCATTTGGGGAAGAGTTATTACATGAGGAAGAGGATTCTCTGGACACCAGCACACCAATTCACCCTCCTCAGTGTCTGTTCTCTGTGGCCAACTCTAACAATCTAGAGAACAGTGGAGGAAGAAATACACTACCTTAATCAATTTTCCTCTGTAAGAAAAGCGTGCTTCCCCCTTAATTCAGAACTATAGTGTTATCAGCAACACAAATAAACAAATAAATAATCCTGCTATTCCTGCAGCCAAGCAAAGAGGAAGAACAAGCAGAGTAAACAGAGTCCCAGAAGGTGACTCCCTGACAACATCCCTGATTTCCCCCCAACCACGTGGACATTCTTACACCAGTAAGTTCCCTGAGATTCCAGGTTGAAGCCTTTCTTCGACATTGTTATCTAGCTCCAGGTGAAGAGCTCCAGACAACAGCAAGCCTTTAACCTCTCCTGCAAACTATTCCTCTATGTAATCTCTATCACTGCTAGGAAATTGTGTCATATGTAAAAGAATCTGTGTACCTTTGATTTTCAGTTACTGGATCTCAAAGAGACTAAAAATATTCAACTATCAAGTAACTTTTCAATAGGCAAGGATTTCCACAAAGTAGCTGAGACTTCTTGAACCTTCTTCTCTTGGAAGTGTCTGAATAAACTGAGTTCACTAGATCTGTTACAAGGTTTTTCCACAACCAGAGCATTTGTGTGGCCTCCTCTGAATCTTCCAGGATCTTCATACTTCATCTGAAGAGCTTAACGGGACCTTATGTTCTAGCAGCCATTCTAACACACAATGTGTGCACACACAATCACAACTAAATCCTGCAAGTCATTATCTAACAGCTTCCTACCACATAAACAGAGGAGGTAACCTTGGTTTTTAGACTTCATATGTTCTTTTTCACTATATTAAGATGCTTCCCCAATTTGGACTTATCTAGCCAGAAAGATCAGAACAGGCTACAGCACTAACATCTTGTCACTGCAAAGATTATAAATCTTCTTTTGGATAATTTAAGTCAGTAGACATATTAGTATTTGAACAAAGAATTTGTAAGAATAGGAGCTGAATGGAAATACTCTGCATATTTATGTCTTCCAATTAACAATCAAGCTGTGTTGTTTGCTCCTAAGCTCCTTCTGCACTTTTGCCTCACTGCCATACAACAGTATCTTTGTTTAATCAAATTTCCACATCACGATAGAATCAAGTTCCTCAGAGAATTTCAAGTCTGTGACAGTCATGATAATAATAATTGACTTCATTGGATCTTGAAATGTCTTCCCAAGAGGGGACATGAGGTTTATTAGAAAAGAAAGAAAAAAAAAAGTCATTTTTTAAAGCACGTCTCTTGGTCTTTAGTATCTACATTTATCATAGAATCACAGAATCATAGAATCATTAGGGTTGGAAAAGCCCTCCACGTTCATCTGGTCCAACCAACCCCCTACCACCAATGTCACCCACTAAGCCATGTCCTTCAGCACCACGTCCAACCTTTCCTTGAACACCCCCAGGGATGGTGACAGCACCACTTCCCAAGGCAGCCCGTTCCAATGCCTGACTGCTCTTTCTGAGAAGAAATGTCTCCTAATCTCCAACCTGTATCAACCTGGCACAACTCGAGGCCATTCCCTCTAGTCCTATCACTAGTTACCTGCAAGAAAAGGCTGACCCCCAGATCCCCACACCTTCCTTTCACATAGTTGTAGAGAGCAATGAGGTCTCCCCTGAGCCTCCTCTTCTCCAGACCAAAGCCCCCCAGCTCCCTCTGCCGCTCCTCACAGGACTTGTGCTCCAGGCCCTTCACCAGCTTCGTAGCCCTGCTCTGGACCCGCTCCAGGGCCTCGATGTCCTTCTGGTAGTGAGGGGCCCAAAGCTGAACACAGCACTCGAGGTGCGGCCTCACCAGAGCCGAGTACACGGGGACGACCACCTCCTATTTTATCTTAATCCCACAATTGACATCAGGTTACCAAACCTACAGTTCCCCTACCCTACAACACATTTCATCTTTCCACGTGTAGGGACAACACTCGTGGCACTTCCAATCCCGCCGAACTGTTCCCCTGATCTTCCAAAAGTATTTAAAAATCATTAACAGGGAACTCTGCCAGCCGCTTTAAAGCCAAGCCTCTCCGTTTGAGAGCACGGCGCTGCCGCTGGCCGCGGCCAACTCGCCCTCGGCAACCCCCGGAGCCGCCCGCGAGCCGCCGGCACCGAGCCGGCCTCCTCCGCCACAGCCTCCAGCCCCCGGGCCCGCCTCAGCCCCGAGGCAGCACCGGGGGCCCGACCGAGGCCGCGCGGCTCTGCCCCGGCTGCGGACCGTCCCCGTCCCCCCTCACCGGCCGCTGCCGCTCACCTGCCGCCGCCGCCGCCGCTCGGAGCCGCCCCCCCCCCTCGGGACCCCCGGCTCGGCGCGGAACCCCCGGCGCCCGGTGCCGCCGCCCCGCCGGGCCCCCTTGGCGGCAGCACCGAGCGCGGCGCGGAGCCTGCAGGGGGCGCCGATGCCCGCAGCAACCCTGCGAGCCCGGGGTGCGAGTGTGTGAACGTGTGTGTGTGTGTGTGTGTGTGTGTGTGTAATTTACCGTAACGACCCGCGGGTTTACCGTATTGCCCCGCTGTGCCGTGCTGAAGGTGCACCCAGACGTGACCATCACTCTGTATTTCAACGAATAAAACGATCGCTTCGCGGGCTGTGCCGGCCCTGCCCCTGCCCCTGCCCTCAAGGGGCACTGCCACAGCTTCTACTCGGGGGGCTTTCGGAGCCGCCCTTCGCTGCCACGGCCAAGCAGAGCCGGCGCCGGGAGCCCCTCGCCCTCTCACCTCGCCCTGCTCCCCCGAAGCACGGCCGGGCCCGCGGGACCCACGGGGCGGCAGCGGGGCCGGCCCCGGGAAGGAGGGCGCTGGGCGCGGCGGCCGCCTCCCTCCTCAGCGCCTCCCGCCCGGGGCAGCGCCCGCAGCTCGGCGGGGCGCCGGCTGGGAGCCGCGGGGCGCGGGCCATGGCTTACCGGGAGCTGCTGAGGCGCTGGCACCAGGCGGTGCTGGCGGCGGACGACGGTGACTGGGACGCGGCCCTGGACGCCTTCTGCGGCATCGAGGAGCCGCCGTCCAGGATCTGCTTCAACATCGGCTGCGTGCACCTGCGGGCCGGGAGGCTGGAGGAGGCCCTGCGGGTGAGGGGATGGCGGCGGGCTGTGGCCGGGCCCTGACTTGGGTGGATGGTGCTTTCCTCACCGTGATTTCTGGGGGATTCCTGCTTGAATGCGCTCTTCTGAGACACCTTGCTCAAACTACTTACAATCCTTACTCGACATGTCGGCCTGATCGCTGGGGTATGGGTGTTGATGGTGTGGGTATAAAACAGGCAGTGCTGCCGCTCTGTGCATCCCTAAGTAATCCCTCACGAGCTAAGATTTCTCCAGAAGAACTTGCTATCCTGGACTACCACTGTATTTTGGAAAGTGAGCTAGCTACCTGACAAGTGTGCTGAGATAAACTATTTCAGCATGCAGCAGCCAGCCTGTCTGCATGTCTCTCTATCAGCTGCCCAACAAAGAGATGTATATAAATACTTTGTCTTACACAGCACAAAGAGGAGCGCAGGCTGTGCTGGAAGGGGCTGTGGCAGCACCGAGCGGGGCCATTGCTGCGAGACAGCAGCACGATGGTGCCCAAGAGCCTGTTTTCAGCCCCAATAAACAGGCACCTACAGGGAAGCAAGTCAGTTATGCTTCCACTTAGATCAGCGGTTGGTTGTTTGTCTTTTATAGCACCATAGAGCAGACAAAGTAAAGTGCACTGGCTGAGTCATGGGAGAAGCCAGCCACCAGTGCCGAGGAGCACAGTCACTCCTTAATGTCCTGCAACATATTTTCCCCATTGCAATGCTGTCCCTGTTTACACAACGCAAGGAAAGTCTGGGGTTGCAGGTTTGATTCATTATCTACATACCATCTCATTGCAATGGTTAAGTGTAGGAGCACACCTCCTAGCTTTCTCAGAAAGATACTGAGACAAAGCAGAGCGGGAAATCACTTTGAACCACTGGTCACATGCTGTTACCAGCTTTCCTGGTACTTACCTCTACTCAGCTGGGAAACTGGGATCAGAAATACCAATCTGTAGATGCAGTTTGTGAACCCCTTCAGCTTTCTCCCTTTACGCACTCATCACCACAGGCATTTCAAATAGCCAGTTATCAGGGCAAGGTCTGGTCAAGGCAACAGACTCTGCAGATCACAAAACATCATGTGGCAAGCATGGTTCATTTGTTACTGTCAGTCTGTTTTCCCAAGAAAGGATAAAATCCTGAAGTTTATCTCATACAGAGCCAAGACCTGAAAGGTGACATGAAGCCATCTTCTGCCCTTTGGCCTGGATCACAGCCCCACATTTCTTAGACAAGACAAGCTGGTCACAAGCCCAGGGATGGCTTCTGCACCCAGCTGGGTACATATGCCCAGACAATGACATAAGAGATCCTAACTGATCACCAGGATATCTGTGTTTTTCTCTTTAGGCATTCAGTAAAACAGTTACCAAGGACAACTCGCTTGCTGTTGGTTACTTTCAGAGGGGGTTTGTTTATCTGCAGTTGGAAATGTAAGTAACATAAATAACTCTTGCCTGTTCTTTCTCTGGTTTTCTCCCTTTACTAAAAAGTTATTCCTAAAATTCACTCCTCCAGTAATTTTAAGCAGTTCATAAGGTCTGATTTGGCCTTGTAAACCATGTCACAAATCAGCAAGTCTTATCTCCCATTTACACAGGAGAACTGAGAAAATGTGAGCTGCACAACAACTCCAGGACCCCAGAGTTGGCTAATGTGACATTATTGTCATGTACACACAGAGAAAGAAGCCACTCCTATATGCAGGACTGATGGGAGATCCATCCAGTTTTGCCATCCAGTTTTTCACTGGGAATGAAAATATAATTGCACTAGTTGGTGTGGCTTCGCATGTTATGTGCAAGTTTGGCCTTCCCAAAAACACAATCTGCTGGCAGGCTCGTGGATGGTAGTGCCCTGCCCTGGCCTAGAGCTGCTTCCCCTCCAGCTCTTGATCAGGTAACCACTGCAAAGCCTTTCCCACATTTCATAGCCTGAAACCTCAGTGGGAACCTGTTTTGATTTCAGTTGTATAGCTGGTATAAATTCAGACTAATCCCCTCCTTATCTTTAGAGTTTATCCAAATTTCTGTTAGCAGTGCTCTGGCCATTCATGTATGCTCACCATCAGCAGGTGTTTCCCAGCCCTCGCTTCTACCCCAAGATGTCTGCTGGGACAAAACTGCCAGGAGCAAGCTGGGGAGGGAGCTTATGCTATTTGTTAACCTTTGTTCTTTACATTTTCTCATCCTTGGCAATGCAACTGTGCTTCAGGTATCAAAGCCTATTGTTTATCCCAAATAGTAAAATAATGCAGATAATCCTGGAGAAGAGATGCACCATGTTCATTTTGCATGAGCTACCCAGTAGGTAGGAACTACCCAATAGGACTGGAACTTTTGTGGTCACAAGACATGTCTCTGGTGCATCCCTCCTCATCTAGCCTGTCAGGAAGAATAGATTGCTAGTTTGATTCTTGAACTTTGTATTAGAGTCTTTAGCTTTTTTAAGTCTCAATTCCACCTGTCATCTCTGCATTGTAGGTATGAAGAAGCTCTCTCTGACTATCAGATGGCCTTCAGTCATCTAAGACAAAATCCTTTCATTGATTACAAGCAGCTGGGGCTGAGGCACATTCTTTATGCATGGGAGGTAAGGGCCAATCTGTCTCAGTCATCCTTCCCCTCTGTTGGGGGTATTCATCATGTTTTCAGCAGTAGGCCCTAGTAACCCAAGAGCTTTTCAAGAAAGTACATTAGGACAGTAATAAATTTCTGTTTGTGCTTTTTTTTTTTTTTAAGGGAACTTAATTATAAAAGTCATAAAACAATGTCATCTCTGAAAAGTTGTAACAAATTACTGTTTGAAAAGTGAAATTGTTTGGAGCAGATCCCCAGGAATTTGCCTTTTTTTTTTTTTTACACTTACTTGTATAAAGATGTATGGAAGTTAGGTGGAAGTATAGACAGATAGGAACAAAATTTGTCCAGAATGAAGATTTTTAAAAAGCTCATGTGCACAAAAGCCATCTTTCCAAATGTAGCAACTTGTCTCAACATTATCTGTCTAACCTATATACTAGACGTCGAGCTGCTTCTGTAACACTTCACGTTGCAGCTTTTATGTTTTTCCACAGAATTGACCTGCCACATCCTGTTCATAAAAGTCTGCCTGAACTGATTGGAAATGTTTGTAATATTGAGATTGTAAATGACTTCTACAAACTGTGCATGCACTATTGCAAGGGTTCATTTTGTGTTGTGTCCTGAGTTCTTGCACACAGACAGAAGAGTAGATACAGGAAATAAGTGTTTAATCCCATACTCCTGCAAGAGGAGTCATTGTGCAACTCAAATCAAGCATGCCCATGAACCAGTCATTCAGCCTTGTTTAATTTCTGTGCTCATTATACCTGGCAGGAAGAAGCTATCTTTGGCATCTGTAACGCTATCCAAACCTTACTGTTTTTAACAGTTTCAGTGCCACAGTACTGCTTTCTTTGAGCTCAGACACACCTAGAAATAATAGGTTCCCTTTAAAAAAAATCACAGGGCTATAGGAGTGCCTAATCTCGTTAGGAGGAAGTTGTTGCTCTTTGATATGAATATCCAGTCCCTTGCTCCACATGCTCTACATATTACCAGGATGTGTGCCCTCACTGTGGTGAGGCTCTCGACTCAGGATCTACATCCTGATTCATTTCTATCTCACTCTGACATCTACCTGCAGCTCATTTTACAAATTATGCAGACAAAAGCCTTCTGCAGAACTGTGCCATCAGCTTTCCCCAGGTATGGCCACTCAAAGGCTGTATCTGATCCTCTCAAAGTAAAGGAAATTTTGGTGGATGGTTTAGAAATCCTGAGATTTTTTTGCCTCCTTCAGGGCTGTAGTACTTCTACTGAGCTGAGTGACAGCTGCTGCCTTGTCTTTCCAAGAGGGAGTATCTCTGCAGTTCCAATAGGTGTTCAACATGACCATTCTACCCCAAAAGAACAATTTTCTGTTGTGATGAAGGAGCGAAGGAAAAGCATCCTACTACCTGCATATCTGTCCCAAGCACAGCTTACATCCAGATATCACAAAGCAGTTCACAAAGTGATGACCATCACATAAAATAGTAAGAAACCGGAGGGGGGCTATTGGGCCACACTTCTGTCCTGTAGGCCGGAAGCATTTCTGTATACTAACTGTTGGCTAGTGACAAGAAGGAAAGAGTTATCATCCTCTTACTTAAGCACATAAATTGAGGCTTCCTGACACCCAGTTCATGATACTTCCACGCTTTGTCACTTCAGCAAACAACGTACTTATGTGCTGGGTAACAAGCTACAGCTAACAACTTACACATTCAGAGCCCACTGCAACGGGCAACAATTTTAGTTAAATTATTCCAAAGCGAAAGAGAATCAGAGTAATTCTACACAGCAAAAAATATTACCTAGTTACATGCATAAAATAACCCATGCAGCTTGCCAAGGAAGTCCTCACTGGCTTCTTAGACACCAGAGGAATAAGATCAAAACCTGTGTGGTAGCAGAGTATTCATCTACTCTTCCCTATGCCACTCCTTGCCTTGAACAGAACTGGACTGCCTGTTCCCAGCTGTGAGTACAGCTTTTATCTGTTTTGACTCTGATTATGATTCTTTTTTTCAGCTGTGCTTCTCACAGTGCCTCTCCTGTAATCAGGGGAGCAGGTTTGTGCTGCTGCCATATCCATAGTGTTTCTGTGCCAGGTCTCTCTTGCTTGGCTGAGCTTTGTAGGTTGCACTGGGTGGTTGCTCAGTTGCAGCCCTCTGAGCAGCAGGCAGACATCTCTGCTCCCTCCTTGCTGGCCTCAGGTGCTGTACAGCACTGCAGCAGCGCAGTGCCGGCTGCAACAGTGGCAGGAAGCCAAAGTCACCCTAGACAAAGCTGTCGTGTGGAGACCTGAAGGAAGAACAGCAATGTTGGCCTTGGCCCTTGAGCAGGTGCAGGTAAGACCATATCTGTGGGTTCCTGGGGGTGTGCCCTTGGCTCAAGATGGTAAATCCAAGGTAAAAACCTGCTAATTGTTTTATTTGTTCGGGTTTTCCTGTCAATCCACCTGCTTGATCTCCTGGGGACAGTCTAAGCCATTTCTGCGTTATGCTCTACCAAACTTTAGCTAATCTAGTAATTCCACAGAAACACCAGAGTTGAGAATCATGAGATAACCTCTCAGGCTGGGGAGGGTGCTCTCTAGCCCTGCTGTTCAGGAGCTTAGTTACATTCATACGTGTACTATAAAATAAGTTGTCTTATGGAGTGTTTAACTGCAGTACCCCATCAAGTGCAGATTTGATGGTCTCACTTTTCATGAAACTGTCTGACTTTTTTGAATTCTTTTGGCCTCAGTGATAATTAGTGGCAGCTCAGACAAAAATGGCGATCACATTTAGAGCTCGAATAGAGTGTATTCATGTTTACGGAGCTGGTTCTAAATAGTACTTTATGGTTAGACTTTTAAGGTCTAAAAAACCTTTAGAGTTTTTTTTAAAACCTTTAGAGGTTTTAAGGAACAACTTACAGGTCTCAGATTTACTTTCCCTGGAGGATTCACTATTTTGCTACCTCCATAGGTCCTTATCTTACTTGTATCCTTTCTAAAGATTTATCACTTTTTAAATCTGACCATCTCTTTTAGCATCATGACAGCATTTTACATTAGCATATGATTTACATTTGCTATTTACATGATACTCATTGGTTGCATAGACTGACAAAACAAAACCATCAGAAATCAACTAGAGAAACCGCTCAGATTTTTTTAATAAGCCTTACTCTACTGCCCTCCCTTCCCACCCATCCCTTGCTGACAGAGTCAGCCTTTGATTAAACACTAGGCAGTGGCTACTGCACTCTTAATTTTCATGTGCTTGTTAAACCTGAGTGACCTTTTTCAAGCTCACAGCTATATTTTTTACTCCATTGTCTTCCTGGAGCTGGTTTCACACACACACGGAAGCTATACTTGCTTTTCACTGCTGTCATATTTCATTTAATATTAACTGATGGTTTTCCTTTATCTTCTTTCCCTGCCCTAGAATCATCTGTTTTTAGAGCCTATGCAGGTTCCCCTTGGAGAATTTTTCAGACCACGGAAGAAGGAAATTGAACAGCTGGATTCAAAAGATTTCCTAGGTAAACCCAAGGTAAAAGACATGTTTAGATTCAGATTAAGAACAAGAAGATAAAAATTCCACCTCCTGACACCTCCAGAGAGCATTATTGCTGGACACTCCAGCAATCAGTTAGTGCACTAGTGGAGAACCAATGGCAGAACCATCAGGACTTGCAGTGAGTCAAGGCATCTTAAACATACAAATCAAAATCTGTTAGAATTGACACCTCTTCTGTCAAAATTGCACATTGCTGCTAAAAAAAGCTTTGAATCTTAGTCACTTAAACTCTGAAAAAGCTGAGTGTGCTTAGGGATCCATGTGGTTGTCAGTTTGCTGACAAAGACATTTTCAAGGAGTACTTTCCTCCAGCTTGCTCCTACTCACTGCTGCATTCCCACTGGGACAAATGTGTGTTTGTGAGACAAATGCTTTGCCACATACTTTAATGCAAGTTAGCAGGGAATTTCTCTGATCCCTTCTGTGCGCAGTGCATTCATCAGAAGTGCCATAGGCCATAGACCTCTTACATGAAAAAAGGAACAGGAAAATAATTCATTTGCATACTTTTGAAGAACTTTGGAAAAATGAAAAAAACAGACAAAAACAGCTGAAGCAGTTTGGGAGTGTAGCTCTCATTTTCCCCTATGTGCATGTCCCTTCTTTATGGAGTGGGTCTGATTGGATAATCTTGCAGGAAATCTCTTCATCCACCTTGGATTCATATTTTTTTTCTCCCACAGGTGATCTCGTCCATCATTCCCAATGATGAGTACATTGGCTTTGAACCTCTCAGGCCTCAGGTGAGCAGGGCGTAGCTGTGAAAGGTGGAATGGAGCAGCAGTGGAGCTCCACGTAGGGCTTTAGATCCTAACTCTGTCATGGTAAGAGTGTATGATGAATGTGGTTAAAAGGGGAAGACAGAAAATACAACATGTGAAGGTCTACCCCATTCAGAGGAACAGTAAATAAGACAGTGCCTTTGCTATACTGCATGCTGTTATAAACAGATTCTGTTGTTTCCCCCACAGAAACAGGGCTTTTATGAACCCAGTGCTGATGCTGTACGGTAAGTGTTCAGTTCCAGCCTGGTCTAACTCTGCTCTTACTATTTCTGCTCAGAAAGTCGCGTTTTGTCCTCTGATGTCTTTGTTTGAGGACTCTTTATGATCCACAGCCACCTCGCCCAAAGGGTGGGGTGAATAAAAAAATGCACACAGGTTTGTGGCTGCAAGAGGTACTGCAACTGAAAAGAGTGACAGTTCAGTAGCAGCACTTATATAAAGATATCAGGGCAGTCTGAACAAACTGATTTGATGATTTTGGGATACAGGCAAGGATCATGTTGTGGCTGGGAAATGGGAGCAGAGGGGCTGTAGAACCTGCTCAGGTCAGTGGCAGAGGCTACTCAGCTGTCTAGTCCTAGTTTCCAGGACAAAGTGTGTTCACTACATGGTTCAAAAATCATGAAATTCGCTTGGTTTGGTGATCTTGTACCAACAGAACTTCAAGGCTGAATTTAGTCATTGTTTTGATCTGGAAGATGTTTATCATTATTTTCATTCTTTCTTTCCAGAGACCGTGAATCGGGCTACTATCGAGTTTTGTCCCATTATTACCTTGAGGACTCAGAGAAGCTGGCAGTGAAAGCCAACAGTTTGGTCTTTGTGCTAGCAAGAGGAGCGGATGGCTGGGCTACAGCCATACATGACGGACAGGTAAGGGAAATGGATGGGCTTTCCAGCAGAGACCACAGACCTGCTGTGAACAGAAGCTCACTGCAGTCCACTGAGCACATCCTTGGGGACCCATTTATAGCACTGCAGAGCTGAGGATGAGTTCAGGAGCTCATTTCCGCAGACCAGTTACTAACCATAGGTCTCTGACGTTTGGCTCCCATCAGCTTCTCCCATTCACCTCTGTGCCCACAAGGGCACCTTTGTGGGCATTTGTGCTCTCTACTGTATGTGATCCTGTGGTGGAATCTGGTAGGATGACAGTCATGAAGAACCAAATTTTAGAGCAGTATTTGTCACCAGGGAGTTCTAACAGAGCCAAGGAGATGGCCTGGTCCCTAATTAGATATAATTTATAAATAGGTTGAATAGAAACAGATAAACTTGACAACATGGAAAGTTATTTTGTTGACACAAGCCATTTTCACTTCTACGTAAGTTGTTTGAAAAAGTCAGCACACACCTGGAGTAGGTTGAGTCAGTAAATGTATCGTTAGCCTGTATTTCAAATAAATAAATAAAAAGATTGTTCATAAAACCACAAAAAAGGGAGCTGGTTAAGCACAAGGGGCAGTGCTTTGAGGACTGATTACAGCTTAAAAGAGAAAAAAGGTGGGCATAAATGTACAGGTGTTTTTGTTTGTCTGTTTTTAAGAAAGGATGTGCCAACAGAGAATCTGCTGTTACCTCAGCATTTAGCATATTTTTAAGTGATATCATAATAGTGGTAGTGATATAGTGCTTCTTAAGGTGATAATGTTCCATGACAGACAGTCAAATCATTCAACATATCATAGACCTGGAGCTAACAGTGAAGAGCTACAGAAGGATTTGAATATGCTGGTTGACTGGTAAGTAAAGTGTCAGACAAAATTCAAAGTCAAGAAGAGCAAAATATTACACATACTGGAAGAAAGTAAACATAATTACTCTCAGTGATCAGTTGAAATTAAGAGCTCTATAGCAGTGATTGATAGAAGTCACAGGAAATGGGCTGGTACCCCTTGACATCCTTGCTGCTTCTCTCCCTGAACGTCTGTTTTAGGAGCAGGGTGTTGGACATGGGTTGGTGTTCAGTCTGTCACATCACAGCCACTCCATTAGCCACATTGATTTCAGCAGAAAAAGATGTAAAAGGACCCTTGAATTTTGTTCGCTGGTTTCTGAGCACAAACCATATGGGATACTGGGCTCATCCTGGGCGTGCCATGGGCACATTTGCAACAAGGTGAAGAGGCAACAGTGCTTTGCAATGGCAGGAGCAGTGCAAACTGGTCTTAACAGAAGATGGACTTGAGTAGGCTGCTGCTGTCTCAGTTCTGTGCTTTGTGTCCCACAGAAGCTGCGCATACCGACCTCTCTTCTGGAGCCTGCCTCGAAGATGGATATAGGGGTAAGCTGACAAACTTGCAACCCGGGGTGAGAGAAGGGACTGAGAAATACGTTCAGGACATTTGTTTGTAAGACTATCACAGAGTAGAAGAGTGGTGTAAGGTAAACACAGTGTTTGAGCTCAGATGCCTTAAATGAGGATAGTAACATCTTAAACAGGCACATATTTTTGCCTAGAGTTCATGTGCCTAAGCCCTCAACCCTCACCTTTGACTCAGGAAAACTTCCTTCATCTCCCATGTCCCCCATAGGCACCTCCATATGTGATCTCAATTCTTCTCCATCCAAACCCAATGCAGCAAGTTGTGACTCAGACCCTAGCTGCCTCTGAGAGATTTTTCAAGCTTATAGTTGTTTTAATATTCCTATGATTTTTTCCTCCAAATGAATCCCTGGCCATAGCATGCAATTGGGCATTTGCTGCATGAACTGGTCTCCCTGGGGTTCTCTCTGGAGTTGCACCCTGAAATTTATAACCTGTTGGAGGCTGTCCTGAACACTGGCCTTGCTCACTCTGGTATCTTCTCCTCACTCCTTTCTGATGCTGTTCTGTTACAGAAGATCAGCATTGGGATTCCTCTCCCTCCTGCCCAGGTGCCTCCCAACCGACTCCATGTGAAGCAGACATCAGGTAGTCTCCTGGGCCAAGGACCTGAATGGGTGTTTTGTGAAGGTGGTGTGCCCCAAGCCCCCAGCTTTATGGGTGTATGGAGGGGCTGTCTGTGTGCTAGTGGGTTGCAGAAGATCTGTGTGGGGCCTCTGCTGACTACAGGGTCTGTCTCTATGCTCTTGTTCTGCAGAATCTCCTGGTGGAGTGAATGCTTCTGCAAATGATGCTGGTTCCCAGATGGGCTTTGAGGTAAAGTGTTTCACAAACTGAAGCTGCCACAGCCTCAGGAGGCTGTAAAAAGTGCAAAGATTAGATCCTCCAAAATTCCTGAGCTGCCCCAAAACCACTGGGAAAAAACAAACAAACAAACAAACTCTTCCTCTGTCCATTTTGCCATTCCAGAGAGGCCTTTCCTCCACCACTCCCGTATCTGTGACCATACACCTTTGTGAGGCAACCCAAAGTTGAAGTTTACCTGGGCAATGCCCTTTTGCCATCTTCCAATGAGCCAAAAACCCCAGGCATGGCAGTGCTCTCAGACACACACTTTGCAGCCTGTTTTGCAAGAGAGAGCAATCTTTGAACTACCTGCAGTCCCTTACCAGTGTGATATTTTGTGTCGCTGTCAGGCCAGGTACCACAATAATTCACTTACACTAGCTTTCTTCTGGGATGATGTCCTCCAGTTCACTTCTTTGTTATTACCAACCACTATGTGTGATGGAGCTGGAATTGCTCCTCTGTCCACCTGGGGACAGCACCTCTCTGGCAGTGTCAGCTGCAGATCAGCTCTGCTGCCTTGTCTTTGCTGCCTACGTTTATAGGGATTTTGAAGTCATTTTTTTCATCTGTACTTCTGACAGAAGGCAGCAGAACACAGGGCCTTGGCTGTACCTCTTCAGCTGGCTGGGGGTCTTGGGGTTCTGCTCATATAGGTTTGGGGTTGGGAGTATCTGTGTGATCAGGCCCAGAAACAAGCTTTATGGATCATGGCAAGAACATTTGATCCCAGGCTTTGAACACATAGCTCCACCCTCCAACATTAAGGTCTTCATTTTGATGCTGTGAGCTTCCTTAATAACCAAGATGTCCATGCTGCCACATCTCTCTGCAGATCCCAAACACCCAAGGAGATGCTTCGTCCATCCTGGACAGACCAGCTGTGCTGCGAGTGCGTTGCGAGTGCATGGTGGTGGTGAGGGCAGGTGAGGTGCCGTCTCTGCCAGAGCTGCGGACCCTTCTACGGGAGCGCTTCAGCCTGCAGGCAGAGCGTGGGAGGCTGAGGTAGGCTCTCAGTGTGCATGCCTTCCCTGCAGTGTGTGACAGCAGTGATTTCTCTGAGGACACAGGCACCTGACGCTGTCTGGCCTCTGGGATCATTTAATTATCATAGAATCATAAAATATCCCGAGTTGGTAGGGACCTATAAGGGTCAAGTCCAACTCCTGGCTCCACACAGGTCTACCCCAAAATTCAGACCATATAACTAAGAGCACAGTCCAATTGCTTCTTAAACTCCGAAAAGCTTGGTGCTGTGACTGTTCCAGTGCACAACAACCCTCAGTGAACAACCTCTTCCTGATACCCAGCCTGAACCTCCTCTCTCGCAGCTTGACACCATTCCCTTGGGTCCTAACTGGGGTCATTTAACTGGAGGCTCTTTGCAGAGAGCCAATGGGGGAACAGAAGGAAGCACTCTGTACAGATACAGCTGCTGCATATTGGATTTTTCCTGCCCAACTCAGCCTTTTAAGACACTCTAGGATCAATGCAGAGCAATCTGGGAGCCTGGCCAAAGTGTTAATCGGTCCTGGGCTGAAATCCCACTGATAGCGGCACCCCAAGGGGTGGTGCAGTGCAGTCATGAGAGGTTAGGATCTACCCCTCTGTTAAGTGTCTAAGGAGGTGAGTCTCTTCCTGACAGTGCTGTTTCTGCCCACTGAGTATGCAGGATGGCCCCATGTCATCGTGCAAGGTGATAAGCTGGAGCTGGTTTACAAAGTGAGCTTTGGAGACTGAAGATGGTAGATGGCTAGAATTATCTCAAAGCTTGTCTTCACATCAGATGATTTGAGCCATGTTAATGAACTCTTGCAGCTACAGGCATTTGGATGGCAAAGAACTGGGTGCAGTTTCAGGAGAGGAAGATCTAGGGAAGATGTGGCAGCAGCTGACAGATGGCAGGCTTACACTCTGCTGCCAGGTATGTGGGCCATGACAAGCTTCTCTGCTGTGCTGGACTTTAATCACTGCCTTGCAACCTCCATTCTGACTTTCTGCTCTAGGACTCGGACTCCCACTCAGGCAGACCTATCCTCTACCGGATGCTGGCTCAGCATGCTTACCCTGCACAGGGACCAGGGGACCTGGAGTTCAGCAAGGGGGACATGCTGGATATTCTCTCTGAAGGTAGCTCTCAAGTCCTGTCTGTCAAGTCTGTCAAGTCAAAGGCTGTCCCAGACCAGGCTTTCAGAGTCTGCTGCAGGGAAGGACTGGGGAGTGCATGGCTTCTCCAATGCTGTTTCAAGGTTTTGCCCTAAGGATGTGCAGACTAGTGCTGGGTTTTGCCCAGAGTTAAATTCCAGCCATAAAAGCTCTCCTAATCCTGCTCATAGGGGTCAAAGCTAATCTTGCTTCTTTATGTTTCCCCAGTGAACGAGGAGTGGCTTGAAGGACACTGCAATGGCAAGACTGGCATCTTCCCCAAGTGCTTTGCAACCCAGACCAGTTGTGGTGCTACCTTCCCATAGGGAATAGGAGCCTTCTCCAGCCTAACTGCACATGGAGCCCACTGCCATCAGTCCTGTCTCCCAGGGGTAGGAGACACCAGTAGCAGTTCATTTGGCCACAGCCAGCCTAGCCAGGAGCTCTAAACAGGAAATGACCCCCACAAACAGATCCCATGGGGTCTGTTCCAGCAATTTGACAGCATTTACTATGGCCTGTTCTGAAATATGACATTTTTACCTCTGTGCTTCCACTGCCAAAAATTTGCTTGTATGGGGCAGAGAGAGGAAGGAAGAATCTGACGTTTGGCTATGGGAAACGTCCATGCAGCAACCAGAGGAATCTGCCAGAGCTTGGGAGCTCAAACTACAGGGTGGGAAGATGCTCCTTTGCCTGGAGGAATTCACCCCATCTCCCTTGCTGCTGAAGTTCAGGCTGGGAAGGATGAGCCTCACTCTAATGAAGCAAAGGGAAGCTGACTGTGAGGAGGAGGCAGAGCACTCCCTGGCCCCTTGTCCACATACTCTTATCTCCACCAGAGAGAGCTGCTGTTCTTTTGGAAGGCTTTTGTAACTATTTTGCAGTGGGGTATATGGGATAACACCCTGGGTTAGGACCAACATGGATCTGCTGGAGCCAAAGGGCTCTGATCATTTATTAGGTGAGATGTCTTTGATTTCTTTTTTTTTTTTTTTTTCTTTCTCAAGCCCTTAAAAAGTCCTACCTGGATTTTACTGCTGTGTGGATAAGGGTCTTTCAGTGCAGAGGAGAGGTAGCTGTGGAAACATCCCTGCTCACAGCAGCCCTGGGCTTTGTCAGAGGCTTGGAGGGATTGCGGAGGGGTCTGACTGGGTAGTGCAGCACTGGGCTGGTAGCTGTAGCTTGAAAGGCTGAAATGACTGTCTGATTCCTGCAGCTGAGATAGTCTGGGCTCCGCTGATGTAAATAAAATACTCAAGTGCCTGGAGCTGCAACCTGCTGTGGATTAAGTGTCTGACAAAGCTGAGCTATGTAACTTGAATATAGAATAAACTCTAAGCCAGAGTTGGCAGTTCTTAAATCAAGTTCTGATTGTATTTTTCTGCTGAGATATGCCAGTAAATATCTTAAGGACAGCTGTCAGTCAGTCTGTCCTTGGAAAGATTTTCTGTCACACGCTACAAAAAATCTTGCACATCTTGCACAGGGCAAGATACAGAAAATGTCAGTCCTCCTTAGGGTTTAAGCGGTCACCACTGCTCTCCAGCACCCATTGCCTCCCATGGCTGCAGCTGGCTGGCTGCCGGGAGAGCCAACCCACAAGGACTGGAAGTGCCAATGGATGGAAACTCTGCTAGGCTGGTTAGCAACCTTTGTGTTTGAAAAACAAAAAGAGGTTTATTTCTAGTTTGAATTTATATGGCTTCATCTTCTAGCCACCTTGTCTCGGTTGGCCTTTGTCAGCCTGATTGAAGACGTTCCTGGAGTCAGGCATTTCTTCCTCTTAGAGATGCGTAGGGAGCTCAAGATGCCTTTGCCATCCTTGATGTCTTTACAGAGGTTGTTTAAGTGGGCCTCCAGAGCAGTGGAGGTGAGTCTAATGCCCTTTACTGTCTTCCCCTTCCACCTTCTCATGCATGACTTTCCCTGTCTGGTTTAGTGGGTAGGGTGCCCCTAGCTTAGATACTGGGAGCTACTTGGATTTCCAGAAACACTGAAGGAGAATTGCCAACAGGCCTGCAACTATGGCCAGCACAATGAAGGAGATGGCACCTGCCCACAGACTGGGCTGGTGCCCCTTGAGGTGTTCCAGAGGCTCCGTGGGTATCATGTTGGTGAGGTTCAGCATGAAGCCCAGCGTCCAGCCAATGTCTGCGTTTCCTGCCTGAGGAGACAGAGCAGAGGAGATCATCAAAATGTGCCTCTCCCAGGTAGTAAAGGACTCTCCTTGCTTTGGTGCAAGGGACTGGTGGTTGCCTCTCCCAGGAGCTGCCCCAGCTGTGATTTCGTACACAGACCTGGCAGGGGCAAGCCTTGGCAGCACCATTTACACTGAGAGCTTTGCTTTGCCCCTTTCTCAAGGGCTAAAGGGCAGCTGGATGGATGATTGCTCTAGTCCAGATGTACCTCTGTCTTCTGTCCTCTACAATCCTTTGGATTTGGACATGTTCAGTTTTACATAGGTCATAGGACCACCATCGCCTCTCTGATGCTTGTGTGAGTTCTAGCCAAAATCAGAGATCAAAGTGGCCAAATCCTACTCTGCATCCCTCTGCCCCTGTTAAAATTAGCTTACATCCACACCACAGTACCTAAGAGCTTGGGGCAGAGATTTGGGGGCAGGCAGAAGTGACTGAAGCTGTGCTGGGTGCCTGGGTGACAGGCATGAGGCAGTTTTTGAGACATGTTTATGGGTCAGGGGACTCCAGGGCTGCTGCTGCTGAATGTGTCCTCAGGCCAGGGTAAAGATGTGGCCACAGCCTCCTGTCCATTCCCGATGCCCCACAAGGCTTTTACCTTCTGTGTGAAGTGGATGCTGCTCCATGTATGTTCATCAAACTTGTAGCCATCAACCAGCAGTGTCAAGATATAAGTCGCCACAGAGCAGTATGTGTGTAGGTATTCGTCCTGAGGGAAGGTCTTTTCCAGCTGCGGGGTCATCAGGGGACATGGTGCAATGAGGAATGAAAGAGATGTTCAGAAACCCCTGGCCCAGGGAACAGCAGGGCATGTGCTTTCTGGGCAGAGCTTTGGGACAGGGCAGACACAGGGCTCCTTGCTGCCCTGTACAGGGCTCTCACCTCTTTCCAGGTCTTGTTGCAGAAGGCCTGAACCGTGGTGTTGACATGGGTTAAAGACTGTTGGCCGGTCAGGTTCAGGAAGTGGAAGGCATAGTAGAACCCAGCAAATGCCTGAGGAAGAAGGGATGATGGTGAAAATTACATCTCCCTCCTCACCCAAAGGAAGGCTTCTTCTCACCCCTCTGTGCTGGGGTCAGCACTGCCATCCCTGTCCCACAGGAGTGGGATGACAGGAGATCAGGAGGGCTGGCTGAGCCTGTGGCAGAACATCTTACTGTGACTGCTTGGGCCAAATCCTAGCATAAGGCCTGGCCCAGGGGACCTTCTGCCTGGGGGCAGACAGATTTCCATGTAATCCCTGGGGATCTGCATCCAGCACCCACTTGATGGTCTACCACAAAGACTAGGAGCTGGTGGATGAGCCCTGGGACTGCTGCTTGCACGTGGAAGCCTGGCCAACTCAGACTGGTTCCCTGAGAACAAGATCTTCCCACTTCTCTCAGACAGGGCTGGGACTTTGCAAGAAACAGAAGCCACTTCCCACGTTAGGGGGAGAGATTTGCAGATGGGACTGGCTTCGGGGACCCCTCTCTCCTTACCCCCTCCCACAACCAGCAGTAGAGGAGACTGCCGCCCTCCATCCTCCCAACACCATCACCACCGTGGGGCCAGAGGCTCCTTACAAAGAACTGTCCCCGCACAGGCGGCTGATAAACCCCGTTGAACCCGCACGTCCTGTTGGTCTCACAGCTGAAGTTGAAGAGTTTCTGCATGGCAGCACTGCACGCTGCCGGGTCCCCTGTCCCCGTTACGATGAGGACCTGTGTGGGGCTGGGTGTGCTCGGTGTGCGGACACAGGGACTGTTGTAGAGCTCTTCCATGGTGATGTTCTCCTGGTATCCGTTGGGGTAGCAGGGGTGCGATATGTGCTGGGAAGATAGGTTGCCCTGGAGAGAGAGAGAGGCATTACCGGTGCTTGGTGGGGGATGCCAGTGAGACCCTACCCCACAGCTCAGCCTGCACTTACATCTTCCCAGAAAGCAGGATCTAGACCCTCCTAGGGTCTGATTTCTCCCCTCCTAGGATTTGAGGAGAAGCAGAATCCATCCTTTGGGTAACTTTAACCTGCCCATGACTTTTCCTGGTCCTACTGTTGACCCTGCTGTTGAGCTGGGCTGGAGTGGCAGTGCCACTGCCAGCTACTGCCTCCCTGTAAGGCTGAAACCTGCTCCTGAGTGCAGTGTGCGCGCTCTGTGCAGAAAGGTTGTTCTTGGCATCTGGTTTGTCCCCACAGCAACTCGCAGGCCCTAACCCAGGAAGGACTGAAGGTGTGTTCTATCTGCACACTTCTCAAGCATCTCCATCTCTAATGGGATTGGGCTGTGACCTCCATGGGAAGCGAGGGGGGAGGACGCTGGTTAGTGGTGGAGCAGTGTGCAGGAGAGGGTGTTGGGAATCCTCTTTGGGGCAGAAGTCAAGGAGGCAAATGAATTTAATCCCCATTAACAGTTACCATGTCTGCACTGAGCCATGTGGAAACTCAGCTCCCCACCCCACCTGCTCTCTTATTTAAGGGCACAAAGACTGGAGGCTTGAAAATCCTAGCCAGGAGGTGCCAGATCATGTCTGTGGGTGACTGGACTCCCTGTCCTCTGCTACCTGGATGTTGCATCTATTGTTTAGTGGCCTTTAGAACCTGGTGGCCTTTTGAACCACTGGAGATGAAATGAAGCTGACACCTGGAAACTACCCAGGCAAGGAAATATCTCGTGCCCCCATCAGTGGGAACAGGGAAGAACCTAAAGATACAGCTGGGCTAGGGAAATTACAAAAAATGCCCTTACAGGATGACAAAGGGGCAGAAGGGAGCCCTTGCAGGGAACCAGCACCACCTTCCACCTAAATCTGAGATTTTTTTTTATTCAGTACATAAAGTCTAAGCCTTTCCCAGGTTCCTGAATTTGTGAAGCCTCTGTTCCCTGACACACATCCAAAACTCTTGGAGGATATTTTTCAAGGCAATGGGAAAAGGTTCAGATCCTGTTTACTACTGGCTGCGATACCTGGTGGAGAGCTGCCATTAACATCTTCAAGGCCTGCGTCTGCCCATAGCAGAGGTAGCTGTGGGTGTAGAGGGAGTAGTTGGTGCCATACAGCCTGAAGAGCACAGATGTGTTTTTGTCCTCAATGGTGACTCCGGGCTGGAAGGTTATTTGTGTTGAGGCACCTCCAAGGTCCAGAGCTCCCAGAACCTCTGTGCCCTGCGGATGTTCCCATTTTTCTGCAAAGGAAAACTAGCCCCATAAAATGGCAAGTGTTAGTGTGAATTGAAGGAAATCATAGTCCCAGTCCCTTCCCTCAAGGTTTTGTGGTTTAAAAACCCCAGAGAGAGGTTCCACACTCTGTGTCCCTGTTTAACCCCTCACTGCCCATGTCCTCCTCAGCCCACTTAGATCTCCATGTAGCGTTGAGGTCCAGCCCCTTGGCTACTGCACATCAGCTTGGATCCAGGGACTTTGAGGAGGGAAAGCGTAGCTGGGCTGAGCTGGACACAAGATCCTCCTGCCTCTGAGTTAATCATGTCAGTAGAGTCAAAGGTGCAGTTCACAACAAAAGGCTACATTTGTTTGGGTAACTATTGTCCTAAAAACATTTTTCTCTCCTCTGGGAATAAAGAAACCTGGCCATAATTCAGACAGGGATATACAGGCGGCATAATCCCCATGCCCCCTCCTCTGGCCTGCACCTTGATGAGCGTATCCAGCAGGTAGTTGACGGTGATCCAGCCGAAGGAGCCTTCCTCGTTTCCTGTGAGGATCTGAGCTCCACGGAAATCCACGGGGTACTCTCGAATGGCCTTGGTGACCTCAGCGAAGACCTGCTCAGCTTTTGTGCTGTTTTGCAGCCTGCAGGAGATAAACCCCACACGTTGAAGGAGGCAATTGCTGGGGAGTTTTCAGGGCAGAGCTAACAGTTAAAAAGCTGCTGTCTTCTGCAAAGTAATGGAACTACTTGGAGAGAGGGTACATGCCCCATCCTTCCACTGCTCTACCTGTGGGCTGTCTCTTCATCAAGCCACCAAATCACTAAACTGATGCATTGGGAGTCCGCCTAAAAATGCTGCCCGCAGGCTCTGCCTGAGCAGACGGAATGGTAAATACAAGGCTGGAACACCTCTCACATGAAGAAAGGCTGAAACAGTTGGGGTCATTCAGCCTGGAGAAGAGAAAGCTCTGGAGAGACTAAAGCGGCCTTTCATTATATGAAGAGGGCTTATCAGAAAGACAGAGGAAGACTTTATACCAGGGACTGCAGTGACAGGACAAGAGGCAATGGTTTTAAACTGAAATAGGGTAGATACAGATTTGATGTAAGGAAAAGACACTGGAACTGGTTTCCCAGAGAAGTTGTGGATGCCCCCTTGCTGAAAGTGCTCAAGGCCAGGTTGGGCAGGGCTTTGAGTAACCTGGTCTGGCGGGAGGTGTCCCCCCTATGGCACAGGGTTGGTGTTTGTTAAATGTCCCTTCCAACTGAGACCATTTTGTGATTCTGTGATTCTAAGTCTGGTAAGGGATGTTCCTCCTCCTTCAGGGCACTGTCATACTGCTGCTGGTGTGGGCTGTGGGGTTTCCCCATGGGCACAGTGAGTCATGCCTGTTGGACACCCCCAGCAGGCTGCAGAAATGGATGCTCTGCTCATTGCCATGGTCTGTCCGGGCAGCAGCCCCCAACCCCTGCCTCTGCATCCCAGCCTCATGCACCAGCTAAGATTCAGCAATGTGTGGTGGGGCAGCGCCAGTACCTCAGCAGCCGCATGCCCGCTGTGGCCCCCAGGTAGACGGGGGTGTCCCGCTGCTGCTCTGCAGGGATGATCTTCATGGCCTTGTCCAGGCAGGGCTTCAGGCTGTCTCCAGCCTTAGTGGCGTTATCTGCGTAGCTGGAGATGCCAGATCCTGCAAGAGAGCACCCCCTGATGGAGCCAGCCCAGGAGGGATGTGACAGGACAATGGGCGACATATCCACCCAGACAGCCTAGAAGCCCCCAGGTTTTTTCTCTGCATACCCAGATCAGGCATGCCCTTGCCTAGGGTGTCCCCAGAAGGGCACTGCTCAGAGCTGCTTTGCCCAGAGGTGGCACATGTGCCAAGGCCACGGTATCTGCAGAGACAGGTGGTGAGCTCTTGTGATGCTGAGTGCATGATTAATCCCAGCGAGGCCAAACAGGAGGAACATAGCCATTCAGTCCCGCAGTCCCACTTGGTTAACAAACATCGTGATTCCTTATCTCCCCAGGGGAGGGGGAAGCTCTCATTTGTCCTGCTAGGAGGACATGCGGAGCTGATACGCACATGTGGAGGTACTCTGTGCGCAGCTCAGTGCAAACAAAATCTTTCTATTTTTAGAGGCTGATGCCAGAACTGGGCACCCAGCATGGTCCTGTGGTGGGTGGGGATGGTTAATATCACTATTTACCTTCCCCTGAGTTCTGCATTACAGTATTGTCACTAGCCCAATTGCCCTCTCCCTTACTCTTTGCCCTCCACCAGACCTTTGCTTTGGAGCAGTTAACCAGTAACTGCCACACTGCAGCCACAGAGCCTTGATTTGACATCAGGGCAGGCTCTGCAACCTCTTGCCCCCTTGCCCAGGCACTGTCCCCTAGCCCAGTGGGCTTTGCCAGTCCCAGCCCAGCTCATTATACCACCTACCTGGCCCTACCCACAACAGCCACCACTGTCAGGCACCAGGGCCCATCAGCTGCAGCGTCCCCTGGCAGAGCAGAGGCTGGGCAGAGGGGCAGACCTGTTCTGGCACACTCACCATTCACGGTGCAGGTTTCCACCTGGCTGACAATGCCTGTGCCATTCTCCTTGTTCGCAGGCCACTGGTAGATGTAGAGAGCCGTGTGTGTGGAGCCAGCATCAAACACCATTCCATACTGGGGAGGCAGAGGGGACACAAGGTGACAGGGGGTGCAGAGCACCTTCAGCTGGCTGCAGAGCTCTGATTGCTGCAGGAGAGCTGGCAGAGCTCCCTGTGGGCATGGGGAACTCAAGTGGCAAAGCAAAAAGCACCAACAGAGCAGGCAAAAGGTGTCATTGCAGTCACCAGCTGTATTGGAGACAAGGCTCCATCACAAGCCCTGGGAGCCAGCAGGGAAGGTATCTTGCTGCTCTGCAAGGAAAGGACTGCATGTGCTGTCAGCAAGAAAACCGTGGCACACCCACATGGCATGCCAGCCTGCATGGCCATTTGTCTCCATCTTGGTGATAAACAGCACAGCCTGCCTGAAGCATGGGGAAAATCTCCTACCAAGGGTTAGCCAACACACAAGTGAGAGCAGGTAGCTGAGCTCCTGCCTAGGACCTTACCTTATTGCTGGGAGGCAGAAACACATCCTTCACATTTACGGCACTCAGTATGAGGGCAATGATACTGAAGACACAGGTGGCTGCTATGAGACCTGCAATGACCTTGGCTTTGTACTCCATTCTTCCTCCAACCTGCAAGAACAGCCCCAACCCCCAACTTAGCACATCTGCATTTGCATGGCCAGAAATGCAAATGTCATGGATGGAGATGGGACCTGTCAAGATAGAGCTTCTCCCATGTACTGAACAAGGGCTGGAAGCCATTCTCAGAATCACAGAGTCACAGCACAGCTGAGGCTGGAGGCACCTCTGGGTCCCTCTGATCCAAGCCCTGCCCCAGCAGGGCCACCCAGAGCAGGGTGCCCAGCACCACGTCTGGGAGGCTCCTGAAGATCTCCAAGAAGGGAACTCCACAACCTCTCTGGGCCTCACCTGTGCCAGTGCCCTGTTACCTGCATAGCACAGCGGTGCTGCCTGGTGTTCAAGGGAGGCTGGAACACTCCTGTGCTCCAGGTTGTGCCCAATGCCTCTTGTCCTGGCACTGACCACCACTGATGAGAGCCTGCCTCTGTCCTCTGTGGTCTCCCTCCAAGCATTTCTAGGCACTGATGAGATCCCCCCTGAGCCTCCCCTTCTCCAGGCTGAGCAGTCCCAGCTCTCTCAGCCTCTCCTCACAGCAGAGGGGCTCCATCTTCATGGCCCCATTCTGCAGTGTCCAGCTGCTCTTATGGGAGGCCCCTGGCAGTCTCACCAAGACACCCTGTCCTTCTGAGCCCTGCCTCCCTGGGGGATTTTCAGATAGGCTTTTTCAAGTTAGGCACTACTCAAACTGGGTGGAAGGTGAGGATCTCCCTTTCCAGCAGCAGCAGTAGGGAAGTGGCTAACACGAGACCCAGGCTGGCAGCAGGACCATGCCCTGGTAGGTTCCCAGTGGGGCTGTCCCCTCTGGGGTGCCAAGCCGCATCCCTCTGGCACCCACATGCTGCCATCATACCCTGCATCCTCACACAATCCATCCCACAGACTTGGGACCATCAGGTCACATAAAATAGAACAGTCCAGATGGAAGGGACCTGAAAAGATCATCAGGGCCAAATTTCCCCATATTTAGTGGGAAAGGGAGCCTAAATGAGATAATCTAGCACCCTGTCAAAGTGCATCTTGAAAACCTCCAGTGATGGGGATTCTACTAACATCTGTCGCTCAACAGTCTCAGACTTCCCTAGGGTCCCTCTCCATGCAGGGGAACAACATCTCCATCAACATGTCTTCTGCTGCTCCAGCTCCTCTTGGGTCTTGGCAATTCTGCAGCAGGAAAGCAGACACACAGGGGTGGTGTCTGGGCTTGCAGGCGATCGATGCCCAAACTTTTCCTGCGGCCCTTGAAGGGTGCCAGAGGCAGAAAGCTCCCTCTGATCTGGGCACACGCAGCCAAGCTGGCATGCTGATGGTCACAGGAAGGCAAGGCCAGCGAGGCACTATGGAGCCCTTGGGAAATGGATTGGGCTTTATGTCTCCCCTTGCCTGGCCAGAGCTCAGCTCCCGGCAGAATCAGCCCTGAGGCACCAGTAAGAAATTGCGGCAGAGAAGCAAAGCCCAAGGGCCTGGTTCTCCACAGCAGCCTCAGCACACAGCAGGTGACACGTTCACATGCTCACCATCCTGAGGCCACCCCAGGTATGCTTTTCTACACACACAGCTCTCCCTCCTCCTCCTGCATCAGCTTGCTTCGCAGCACCAGCACACGCAGCGTGCCGGCAGGGAGCTGTGGCATCGGGCTGCGAGCCAGATCACAGCCACGTGGTAGATTCCCCAAGAGCCCTGGACATAAGCTAGAGAAGTGGTCTAACCCAAATGGTGCTTTGGGGGGCACCTCGGGGTGTGCACTTGGCTATGCGGTTCTCCCAAGAACACACCAAAAATTCCCTCACCCTTCAGAGTGGCCAGATCAGCAGTTTCAATAGGAGAGAAGATCTTTGGCAAAGTCACAGGAGATGCTGATTCCTGTTTCAGTCAGCATCTCCAATGATAAACAAGGGTGACCAGTGCCCTGTGTGACATCAGATGTATAATGATGGGTGACAGCTGTTCTCTTCTGTTCTGTGTCACGGCACATAGGACACAGAAATCTTTATCATGAAACAGGAAACATTTATCAGACCATATCCAATACCCCAAAGCCCTGCCCTGTATGGTAACAACAGAGACATGTAAGATGGTGATGAATTCCTGTATTGTCACATCTCCAGTCCTATTAATCTTGCTGTAGTCCACACAGTCCAATAACTGTTATTGGGCTGTACCTTCCCTTCTCCTGGTTATAGAGCAAATAGAAAAGTCCCTATCCCAGCACTCATCATGGAAAATCCTGTCCGAGCCACTGTGTGATGGTAATACATTGCACAGTCCTGTGTGCAGGAGCAGGTGCAAAACTACCTCCACCTCTTCTTGGAAGGGACTAAATTCCATTTTTTCTCAGTAGCAGGCAACACCCAAAGGCTGAGCCTGCAAGGCCAGGGGATTAGAGCAAGGCACGGGGAAGGAGCCCTGCAAGCGGAAAACAAGGAGGGAGGGATGTGAGAAGCTGATGGATCTGCCCTGTTTTTCAGTAGCACCTCAGGGCTGGCCAGGTGCCCATATCTGCTGCTGTACCTGGCACGGCGCTCTCAGGGAGCAGGTCTGGGGCACGAGCAGAAGAGACAGAAAAGCGGTGATGCCCCCAGAGCAAAGGAAAAGGCATGCTGCTGCACGGCTCAAGCACCAATGCCCAGATGTTTCAGAATGCGGAAAGTTTGCAGCTGTGCATGCTGCTTGGGCTGCTCTTGCACCGGTTTGTGTATGACCAGACACAAAGAAGTGATCTGCCAACAGCTGCAGGACAGCTTCTTGCAGTGTCCCTCAAGGGAAGGGAGGGAGGGAGGAAAGGGAGCCTCAAAATTAGGGAGAATTGTCTTGTAAGCACTGTTGGATGTAAACTGTGTGTTGCTCAGGAGAATGGAAATCAAACCTCCCCACCGTGCACATGTGGGATTCGGATGTCAAAAAGTTCTTAAAGTTATATGAAAGGGGGTGAACGCGCATGCTGGGAGCATCCCTGCCAGGCAGAATGGTCCCTGCCTCCCATCCCTCCCACCAGTGTGGGGGCTCAGCAGAGCCCTCCACGTCCCCTCTGCACCCTGTAGGGCACCTCGAGCAGCAACCCAGTGCCCTCCTGCTCACCTTCCCGGCCCACAGCACGTGTTTATCTCCAGCGTCTGGCTCTGCTGCTGGCCAGAGCACCCCAGCAGCTCTCAGCCCCCTGGAGCAAAGCCTCATGGAGGGGTGCCCCGACCCCCTCCCCTGCCCGCAGCTCACCTGTGCTGCTCCCGGCACAGGGCCACGCTGCTGCTCACCTCGGTGTCAGCGCGTACCTGGAGTGTGGCGCTCAGTGCCTGGGACAAAGGCTGTCCCGGAGTCCCCCGTATGGCCCTCCCCTTGGCCCCAGACCAGCAACCTGCCCAGGAGAGCACTCGTCCAGGAGGCAGCAGGGCTGAGGCTGGAGAGCCCAGGTGAGAACAGCACCTGGCTTTAAGCACTTTGCTGCTGGAGGAGAGGCTCTGCTGTGGAGATCTCCGCCCTTGTGGGTGGTTTGGGTCCACGCACGCCTGGCAGTGCTGGCGGGGCTCGGCAGGGCTCAGCTCTCCATGACTCCCACAAGAGCTCCAGCCCTCTCCTCTGCACCTCGAGGAAGCCACCAGGACAAAGACAGCAGCTGAGATCTGGGAGAGGGGCTTCTGCCCCACCGATATGCCTGTCCCACCCCTGCTGCATGAACACGCTGCAGGGTAAGGCATGGGCCAAGCCTGTCACCCTGCACCCCAGCTGCAGAGCTGCCCAGGGCAGAAACGTGAGGGACCCGGCAGGTGGGGGAGGGACCCATCCTCATGGCCAGGGACACACAGTGGAACCTGTCCCCACTGCCAGGGACCTGCCACCACAGGGACCTGCCACCACAGCCAGGCGCCCAGCTGTCTCCACGGCCAGGGACCAGTCCCCGTGCACAGGGTGCTCTCTGTCCCCACAGCTGGGCTCCACCGCTCCACAGCCGGGCAGCCCCAGCCCCGTGCCGAGGGTCCCATCCCCGCGGCCAGTGCCCGTCCCCACGGATCACACGCGGTCCCCTCCGTCCCCGTGCTGAGGGTCCTGCCCGGCCCCACGGCCCCGGCCCCTCAGCCCCCCCCCGCAGGCCGCCCGCGGCCCCGCCGCTTTCGCTTTGCCCGCGGGCCCCGCCCGAGGCGCCGCGCGGCTGCCGAGCCCCGGGGTGGGCCGGGGCGGCCTCGCCGAGCCCGTCGGGGGCGCCATGAGGCCGGGCCGGGCCGGGCCGGGGCGCTGGGGCTCGGCAGCGGCGCTGGTCGTGCTGGCGGTGCTGGTGGCGGCCGTCCTCCTCCTGGTGCTGGCCCCGGACAGGGACGCTGCCCTCCCCGCGAGGAACCAAGTAGGTGCCCGGGGCCAGGACCGGCCGCCAGCCCCTTCCGCGGCTCGGCCCGGCTCTGCCCGGGACCGGCCCGGCTTTTCCGGGCTTAGCAGAGGCAGGGCCGGGCAGGCCGGGCCCCGCACCGTGGTCCCATCTCCGTGGTGAGGAGGGGAAGGCGAAGGGCGGCCTTCCTCAGCACTGCGCCGTCCCCACCCAGGCTGTTCCCTGGTGTCGGACCTCTGGGCCGCGCGGGGCTTTCCTTCTCTGTCTCCTGCTGCTTTCTGCTGTCATCTCGGACGGGCTTTTGCAGACTGTTAAAAATCACGAATTTTTGTGAGGTCTGCCATGGCTGCAGGTCTGACAGCAGCTCTGGCTGAGCTGTGTAGCACATGTTGGGATGCCTCCCTGCTCCGCGCATCCTGCAGCCGCCCTGCCTGTCTTCGCCCTGCGGTGCCTGCCTTGGCTGGCCACGTCTGGGGCTTAGAAGGGAAGGGGAGGGGAGGCTGAGGGTGCAGCCTGGTGCTGCTGGTGGGTTCACGTAGGAAGCGAGACTTCCCATGACGGTGCAGCCCCAAAAACGTTGCCACCTCGTGTCCCCTCTGCCTCCCCAGTACGGAATGGTGTTTGATGCTGGCTCCACGCACACGGCTCTCTACATCTACCAGTGGCCTGCGAACAAGGAGAATGGCACAGGCATTGTCAGCCAGGTGGAAACCTGCACCGTGAATGGTGAGTGTGCCAGAACAGGTCTGCCCCTCTGCCCCAGGTTGCTGTCCCTAACTCCTGCAGCATGGTGGGCGACCTGAGTCTTACAGCCTGTCCTGTGCCAGGAGGAGATGGCCCAGAGGAACCAAACTAAACTGTTGTGGGGGAGAGGCTGTGGTTTAGGGAGCCCTAGAATATCAGTGTGAGGTGCCCAGAGGCTGCCCAGAGGTGGGGAAGAAATTGGGCCCCCAGTTAGCACAGCTCGTGGAACTAGTCTTGTCTTGCAGCCAGGTGTTATGCTTCATCTCGTGGCCTTGGGTGTTGGATGTGTAGAGCTTGAGTCTTCTTCAGTGCAACCAATTCTTTAGCTCTTCCCATAACATCTCTTTACAGTGTCTTTCATGACTTAAAGTGTGTCTACATGTTTCCACAAGGCCTCCTAAGAGCTCTCCAGATAAATGTTACTGTGATGTTACTGTGTCTCTGCTGAGTTTCTGCTTGTGTTTCCCAGCTGCTCTTTGGGTCAGTACCTGTCTTTTAGGTATGCCCAAAACACAGAGTTTTGGGCAGTGACTGAGACTTCTGAGTATTGCCAGGGAGGCTGAGAGCTCCCTGAGCCAGTAGGATGGGTGGACGTGTCCCCTGCTATCTCATCCCTCCTGGGCTGGCTCCGTCAGGGGGTGCTCTCTTGCAGGATCTGGCATCTCCAGCTACGCAGATGACCCTGCTGGGGCCGGAGCCAGCCTGAAGCCCTGCCTGGACAAGGCCATGACGATCATCCCTGCAGAGCAGCAGCGGGACACCCCCGTCTACCTGGGGGCCACAGCAGGCATGCGGCTGCTGAGGTACTGACGCTGCCTGGAGCTACGCACCTCCACAGCCCTGCCCCAAACCCTGGAAGCCTGCTTTCCAGTGAAAGCAGCAATGGGACAGGGCTATTAGTGATGGGAAGGGCTCAGGGGTTATGTTGCAAGGTTGAAGGGACACTTTGCCCTCCTGGCTGGCATCTCTGATGGACCCATTTGTGGTGGGGAACCAGTGACCCTGTTGTTACACATTTTCTGCCCATACCATGCTCTCCCTCCCTCCTTTGGCAGGGAGCAAAACAGCACAAAAGCTGAGCAGGTCTTCGCTGAGGTCACCAAGGCCATTCGAGAGTACCCTGTGGATTTCCGTGGAGCTCAGATCCTCACAGGAAACGAAGAAGGCTCCTTCGGCTGGATCACCGTCAACTACCTGCTGGAGACACTCATCAAGGTGTGGGATGGTGAGAGGGCAGAGGGGAGGGAAGGTCTCACTGTGCTGGGAGATCCTGCTTTGATGGAGCATCCTCAGTATTTCTGGGCACCAGGGTCAGGGTCCCCTGGGGTCAGTCCTTGTTTGAAGGTGAAACAGGGAAATCTGGAGCCGCATCAGCCCCCACAGTGTCTGGAAGAGCCCTAAAGGCTGTGAGGCCAGTGAACTGTGGGTCCCCTCTCTGTCATGCTGTAGTTTGGGCTGGGAAGCCAATACTCCTGTGCTCATCCTGCACTGGATCTGTGTGCCCTGTAAGTGAGTCTCGGTTTGGGGCAGCATTCCTTCACAGGCAAGTGGATCCACCCACCAGTGGAGGATACCGTTGGAGCTCTGGACCTTGGTGGGGCTTCCACCCAGATCACATTTCTTCCTGGGACCACCATAGATGACAGCAACACAAGAGCTCTCCTCAGACTGTACGGGACCAACTACTCCATTTACACCCACAGCTACCTCTGCTATGGACAAATGCAAGCCCTGAAGAGGCTGATGGCATCTTTACACCAGGTAATTGCCTCCTGCCTTGTGCTCTCCTGCAGCCAAAGCCCTGGTCTCACTGAGCTGGGCAGGCAACGTGTGCTGGGTGTTATGACCAGGGGGCTTGGTGCCTTTGTGCAAGCAGCAGTCAGGATAGCAGATGCAATGGGGCCACCTGCACAGGAGCCACCTCAGGCGTGTCCCAACACCAGGGCAGGAATGAAACAGATGGAGTCAGACACCTGGTGCCTGACCACAGGCACTGCCAAGGCAGCTGGTGCCTGGGGTCCTGTCCCAGGGCCATTTTGCCCACCCGCTCTCCTTCCCTGTCCTGATGGCGGGGCTGTGTCAGCCCAGCCTCAGTCACAGCTGCTAGAAGGACTTGAGTCGTGGAGGAGGGAACCCACTGGGTGCCATGAGGCTGGGGAAGACACAGTGGGATTTTTTAGCATATGTCTTGTAGGGAATAACTTGGGTTTATGAGAAGGAGTCTGAATAGGCTGATCTTCAGAGGCAGGTGCTGGGAGAGTGGAGGGAGGTGTCATTGCTGCTCAGGGTAACCCTCATGTCTGTAGCATGGCTGAGGGACAAGGTCTCAATGCCAGTTCATGATGCTTGGAACAATAATGGGCAAAAGGCAACATCCAGAGCATGTTAGCAGACAGAAATCAACATGCATTTCTTTTCTGATTAAGTGGTTTCTCAGCTTTGGCTCTGCCTCTGAGTCTGGTGACACTACAAAGGAAGAATGGGGACAAAATGGGTGCACACTCAGCACAGGGCACAAAACCCCAAGGCCCTGGACATGCAGCTGTTGCTGTAGCTGATCCCTGACTGGGACATGGCACACCCTGGCTGTGCCTACAGCACTGTGCCTGCAGCTCACAGCATGGTGTTAGATGAGACCTCATGAGCAGTGGGGCCTGCATGAAGGCAGGGTGCCTGCATCTGGGTGTGGAAACAGGCACTGTCTGTGGCCTGCTTCTCTCTATCCTCATCCTCAGTGCCAGAGTGATGCTAATGCCTCTCTCTCTCTCCAGGGCAACCTATCTTCCCAGCACATATCGCACCCCTGCTACCCCAGGGGATACCAGGAGAACATCACCATGGCAGAGCTCTACAACAGTCCCTGTGTCCCCACACCGAGCACACCCAGCCCCGCACAGGTCCTCATGGTAACGGGGACAGGGGACCCGGCGGCGTGCAGTGCTGCCATGCAGAAACTCTTCAACTTCAGCTGTGAGACCAACAGGACGTGTGGGTTCAACGGGGTTTATCAGCCGCCTGTGCGGGGACAGTTCTTTGTAAGGAGCCTCCGGCCCCACGGTGGTGGTGTGGGTGTGGGGCTTTAGGGCACCAGAGGCTGGCCAAGGCTCTGGGAAGCCTGTTGGAGGAGGAAAGTGAATAGTGCCAGTGACAATGGATGTCTTGAAAGCTGGGGTGTTCCTCATGCATGGAGACATGCAGGGTGCTCACTGGTGTGCCAAACAGACTACCATATTCTGTATTTCCAGAGTCTTCAGGGCTCTCTTCATTCAAGCTGGTCAGCAGGCAGCACCCTATGTGGTGTGCCCCCTGGACACCCACAGAGCACCCAGAGTGAGAGTGGAGGGTGGCAGGAAAACCTGGGCCTTCACTAACCTGCTCCTTTTGGTCATAAACACCCACAGGCGTTTTCAGGGTTTTATTACAGCCTTCACTTTCTGAATCTGACTGGAGAGCAGTCCCTGAGCTCAGTCAATGACACTCTCTGGAAATTCTGCACCAGGAATTGGAAGAAGGTAAGATCCTGCCTAGCTGCTGCTGGCCCCTGCCTGTATTTCATCCAGCCTGGACACTGGGCAGCTTGAGGGCCTGCCACAGCCTGTCTGTCCCCTGCTGCAGAAAAGGGCAGCTGGAGGGAGCTGGAAAGAGCACAAAGATCTCTGGGCAGGGAGAGATGTGGGAGTGCAGCCTGCAGCCTCACAGCTGCTGCTCCTGATTGCACTGCAGGGCCCTTCCCCACTGGCTGCCTCCCTTTGCTCTTCCACATCTACAGCTGCAGAAGGAGTTCCCCACTGCAAACAGGACCCACCTCCGTGACTCCTGCGCCGCCAGCTCCTACACCCTCACCCTCCTGCTGCACGGCTACAAATTCAACCACAAGACGTGGCACAACATCCACTTCTGCCAGCAGGTAGGAAAGGGCCTGGCTGCCACCTTACCTCGCAGCTGCTTCACTAAGCTTGCATGCTTGTGCCCACCCTGCTCTGCCACACTTGGGTGCGGGAACTGGGGATGATTGGTTGGCATAGTCCACCACCCACATCCAGGCTTGCCTGATACTTTGCAGCCCTTCACATCCCTCTTCTTTCTCTGTCTGCACAGGTCTCAAATGTAGATGTGGGCTGGACTCTGGGCTATATGCTCAATCTCACCAACATGATTCCCCCGGAGATCCCCCAGAATGTCATAGGGCTCCCAAGAAGCAACTGGATAGTAGCCACAGTCTTGCTGGCCGTCATGCTGGTTCTCACCTTCTGCCTGCTTGTGGCTGTGTGCTACCAGAAGAACTACTCTGGTTATGAGAGCCTCTAGCAGTGCTGGATGCAGAGGCTGTTGCAGCCACCTGGTCCTGCTGCCAAGCTTGTGCAAGGAGCTGTCAGTGGGGGAATGGGCCCCATGTCCCAGGGCTGCGAACTTGTGGGGCACCTGTGTCATGGCCTGGTGAACTGGAAGCAGAACAGGCCTTTAAAAAAAAACAACACCCTGTAACTGTGTGCTGTGTGGTTTCTCTTTCCCCTTGCTGCTGGTTGAAGAAGCCTCTAGGAGAAAGGGCATGGCTGTGTGGGGCAGGGCTCAGCACTGGGGGCTTGGAAACAGTAGTGATGAGGGGCAGCTATGACCAGAGCGGCCAGGAAGAGAGAAGGGGAGTCTGGCAGCAATAGGATCATCGCAGGGCTGGTTGCCACCTACAGCAGATACCCCAGGTGGGACAGAGGTGCCACCTAGAGGGATGTTGGGGCCATGGGGGAAAGTTGGCCTGGGCTCTGCCCAGGTCTGGGAAGCTGTGTGAGGTGGGGAGTCACAGAATCACAGCACGGCTGAGGCTGGAGGCACCTCTGGGTCCCTCTGATCCAACCCCTGCTCCAGCAGGCCTCCTCCTTTCCCAGCACCATGTCCATGCAGTTTTGGAGACTCCACAACCTCTCTGGGCAGCCTGTGACAGTGTCCCACCATCCGCACAGCACAGAAGGGCTGCCTGGTGTTCAGAGGGAGCCTCCTGTGCTCCAGTTTGTGCCCAATGCCTCTTGTCCTGGCACTGAGCACCACTGGCGAGAGCCTGCTTCTGTACTTTGCAGCCTCCCTCCAAACATTTCTAGGCACTGATGAGATATCCCCTGAGCCTCCCCTTCCCCAGGCTGAGCTGTCCCAGCTCTCTCGGCCTCTCCTCACAGCAGAGGGGCTCCAGGTCTTTGCTTATTTCCATAGCCCTTTGGGGGACTTGCTTCAGGTCTCTTATTCTGGGGAGTCCTGAGTGGGACCCAGCCCTCAGGGGGTGGACTCAGCAGTGCTGAAAGAGGGGAAGGATCACCTCCCCCCACCTGCGGGTATTATTTTCCCTAATGCAGCCCAGGGCACCATTCCCTGCCTTCTTTGTCCCGAGGGAGGGCCGGTTGCTGCCTCAGGGTCAGCTTGGTGCCCAGGCTGCTTCCAGCTGGGTGCCCCCAGCACATCCTGGGGCTGGGGTTGTTCCTCCCTGGGGGGAAGGACTCTGCACCTCTCTCCCTGGGGAACCTCAGGTGGATCCTACCAGCCCATTCATCCAGCCTGGTGAGGTCCCTCTGGTTGGCAGCAGGGCCCTCTGGTGCATCAGCAATGCCACCCCATTTTGTGCCAGCTGTATACTCACTGAAGGTACACTCTGCCCCTTCATCCAGATCATTAATGAAGTTGTTAAACACGTTTGGACCCAGAGCTGACCCCTGGGGCACACTGCTAATGACCCTCCAGGGGTGTGGCTGTTCAATCCACCTCAGTCTGCCCATCCAGCCCATACTTCAACAGCTTCTCTATGAGGATCTTATGGGGGACAGTGCCAAAGGCCTTACTGAAGTCTGGACTGACAATGCATGGGAGCAGCCCCGCGTGTTTTCCCACACAAGGTCCATCTTTTGTCATTTGTGCCCTGTGTCTGTGCCAGGCAGCTATCTCGCCCTTTCCAGCACCCAGGCGATTTGGGAACGCCAGCTCTTGGAAGATGTCCTTGTCCTGGTGCCCCCACAAGGTCCATTGGGCACTGCATGGGGCGAGCACCCTGCTCCCTGCAGCACTGGGCAGTGCTGAGGAGATGGATTTTGCTTCCTGTGGCTGGGGCAATCGTTCTGTCCCCTTTCTCCTGAGTTCCTGTTGTCATCATAACCAGCCCTTACCTGGGACATGGAAGCAATAAAATCTTATCGGCTCAGGAGCAATACAACAAGCATTTCCGTCTTTGCTGCCTTTTGCAATGTTTATTTCTGGATAACAGGAGTGGTTGGGTGCTTGCCTCTCTGCAGAAACAGCAAATGTCAGCTCTGTGCTGCTGGGAGGCAAATGTGCTGCCGGCAAATAACACAATGAATCATGCACAGGGCAGATAAGGAGTGAGCAGGACCAAAGGCAAAGGCAAGGACACAGCTGTGGGCAGGACCCAGTTCAGTGCCCTGTGCAGGTCAAGGCAGAATTTGCAGCCTGCTGGAGTCACAGCCTGACACCCAGAGCGCACAGGACTTGTGCTGGTGGGACAGCCTGGTGTCTGGGAAGGCACTTGGGAACGGCAATCCCTTTATCCCATTATGGAAGGGAAGAGAGGGATGAGGAGGGGAGAGGAAAGGAGATGGACCCTGTGGAGAGGCATGGACCACCCTTCTGGCTCTGGATTGCTCAGTTTGCCTTTCAACTCCAAGGCCATCAGCTGAGCCCAGACAATGGGTATTTAGGAGAGCCAGCTGGGACACCACAGAGCCTTGCATGCCCTCAGGCTGGCAGACCTGGCAGGGACCCTCCTGGCTATTGGTGACCATGGTCAGACCCAGCACTGGAGGAAGCACCCGGCCACATGCCTGTGGCCTCAGGCTGGCGGTCTGGCACCCAGGTCCTCCGTGGCCCGGCTCGCTCTGCCTGGCCCCACGCTCCGGCTGGTGGGTGCAGGCCGGACCTGTAACAGGCGTGGCGGTGCGAGGAGGCAGATCGGCATGGCTGCGGCGTGTAGACTCATCTGAAAACCTCCTGCAGTGCCTCTCCTCATGTTTGGGGCCAGTCCCATGGGGCAGCCACTGGTTCCTCTGTGCCCTGGAGGTTCCTGTTCCTACACGCGCAAGAGCAGGAGCAGAGCAACGAGCCCCAAGGCCAGTGTGAGGGTGATAAAGGCGACGGCCGCAGCCCACAGGGAGGGAGCCTGCCCCTTTAGCAGCCCCGGAGCCTCCGCCGGGATCATGTTGGTGAGGTTCAGCATGTAGCCCAGCGTCCAGCCCACATCAGCGCTCCCTGCCTGCACGAGGAGAGGGGACGCTGAGTTAGCATTGCGCTGCCCCTGTCCCCACCCACCGGCCAGGTTCGCCGTTCACCTTCATCTGGAAGACGATGTTGTTCCAGCTGCTCTCGTTGAACTTGTAGGCATCAAGGAGGAGTGTGAGGATGTAGTTGGCGTTGGCGCAGTATTTGGGCAGCCTCTCAGGGTTCTCTTCAGGGTAGCTGGAAGAAAGCTGGGAGGGGGTGTTTAGAGAGTAAGGGAAATTATTTGCAAGTCATTTCCATTCAGGGACAATGCACTGCTCAAGGGGCAATGGCTCCACAACCACCAGCATGCAAAGAGACTTCAGGGCTATACGGGTGTTTTGGTTTTGTCCACAGAGGGCAACTCCTTTGAGGAGGTTTTAATCCCCACGTGAAAGTACAGAGACATACTGAATGGAGTTTCTCTCAGTCCAAATGCTCCCATTTTAGCCTCCTTGCGCAAGGGGCTCCTGCTCTCTGCCCTGTGGTAGCCCCACCGCACCTTTTGACCTTACTCATCCCCGTTTGACGCCTCCCCAGCAGCTGAATCCTCTCACCCTCCCCCAGGTCTCCATTCCCACCTCCATCCCAGCTCCCGTGATGATGGGGACATGATGCTGCTTTGACCTTCCCCTTTTCCCATGTTGTATGGGCAAAAAGGGCCCCTGAGGGTAGCTTCAGGACGGTCCTGGCTCCCACCCAGAGCCCAGGGATGGCTCCACTGTGTAGGGCACAGCTCAGTAATCAGGTAGCCTCTCCCTGGGGCAGTCCCCCCACCCATTTTCTTGTGCAGCTGCCCCAGAGCAGCTCCGATCATGAGGAACATACGTCCTCCCAGCTCCTTGTGCAGAAACGCTCGATGGTCTCCCTGACAGTAGCCAGCGACTGCCCCTCGGTCAGGTTGAGAAACTTGAAGTTATAGTAAAAAGCAGAAAAGGCCTGAAAGGCAAGAGGTACAATTGCTGATGTGTTACCGTGAGAGAACCCCCCAGGGGGAGCTGCCCTGTCTCCCCCAGAGCACAACTGCCTGCAGGGGTGGCTTCACCAGGTCTGTCCCACCCTTGCACAGCCCTAAGCATCGCTGTCCCTGTCCCAGCAGAGATGATGGCTGGGGGTCTGTGTGCCTGCTCTTTTTTTTTTTACTGAAAACTTATTTTTGACTAAGCTCCCGTCTTATTAAAATGGTCCCATGTGGAGCTCTGGCTGGAAAACCCACCAGCAGCAAGCCCTGGTGTGTCCTGAGGCACCAGCAATGTGGGTGCTTCTTGCTGTGGGGAGGTGACAGTGGCACAGGGCACAGCCTGACAATGTAGTGCCCGGGGAACACGTGCAGCTGAGCAAGTGGGGGGACAGGGTTTGCCTTACAAAGAACTGCCCGCTGATGGGGGGCTGGTAGACGCCATCGAAGGTGCAGTCCTGGCTCTGGCCACACGCGGAGAAGTTGAAGAGCTTCCTGATGGCAACCAGGCACCCACTGGCATTGCCCCTGCCCTCCAGGGTCACATTTCTGTCACTGGGGTACAGGCGTGGGTCACTCGCATTGGTGCAGGGGCTGGTGTGGAAGGAAGACAGCGAGATGGTTTCATTGTAGTCTTTGGGGTAGCAAGGATGTTCGACTCGTGTGCTGGAGGATGACTCCTGGGAATAGCAAAATTCTGTGATTTGAAGGCTTCAGCCTCCTCCAAACCTCTTGGTGGGCATCCTGGGTGGCTTCCCTCCAGGACCATGGTGCAGGCATATCCCACCTCCACAGCAGGGAATGACCCTCATGCTGTTTAATCCTGGTCTTGTCTGCCTGCAGTCCCAGCCTGAGCTTAGCACTAGTTCTTCCCCCTGCTTTATGAAGCTCCAATCTGCATGATACCCTCCTCCCACGGAGGCAGACAGACACCGCAGACCCAGCGAGCTGCTCTATGGTCTGGGACACACAGACTCTCTACCCCAGCTCTTACTCCAGCTCCAGCATCAAGGGACACCACATAGGACCTTCCTGGCTATGCAGCATGAACAAACCTCAGGCAAGGTGCAACTCCACGAAGACCCTCTTCCCCTCTGACCTTCCAAAAGTGTCCTGAGCAATGTCTCTGGTTGTCTTTTCTCAGGCCCACACATTCACAGAGTAGTTGGGGCTAGGGGGCAGCTGTTGGACTCTGTGCCATCCCCCTCCTTAAAGCATCACCAACCAGATCAGGTTGGTCAGAGCCTTGTCCCAACAAGTTTTGAATGTCTCCAAGGGTGGTGACTCCACAGCATTTCTGGGTCCTATTCCAATATTTGGCTACCCTTTTGGGTGAAAAAGTTCTGCATCTGGTCAGAAGCTCTCATGTTCCAGCTTGTGGCAATGTCACTTTGCACCTCTGAGAAGAGTCTGATCCTGCCTTTTCTGCACCCTCCTGCAAGGCAGATGCATACAGGCAGAAGATCTTTCCTGAGCCTCCCCTTCTGGTGCTTCACATGCTCCTCCCCGCACCTCCCTACCCATTTCTGTACCTGCTCTCAGTCCCTGCTGATGCCTCTCTGAAAAAGCATCATCTTTTCTTTTTTTATATGTTAACAAGCCTGTGCTTGGTATCCCGAGAGTAGTCTGATTACCCCCCTGTTCCCCTCTCACCAGAATTAACTCCTTTGCCAGGCGCTTCACCATCTCATTCTGCCCGTAGCAGAGGTAGCTGTGTGTGTAGATGTTGTAGTTATACCCATACAGCATGAACCTGGAGGTTTCATTCCAGTTTATAACTGAACCTTTGGGGATAAAGCTGATCTGAGTTGATGCTCCTCCAAGATCCAGTGCCCCCAAAATGTTGGCTGCCTCTGGACGGACCCATGTGTGTGCTTTGGGGGAGTACTGCCAAGACAAACAGGAGAGGAAGAGGAGTGGGATACGGCTGCAATTACTTGCCCTGAGCAAAATTGTCATCCATTTAAATCAGTGGGGTTTTGTTACTAAATGTGATGGGTGTGGTGTCTTAGCTGTCTCTTTCTGTGCATGAGGTCTCACTGCCTTCCCAGCTCAACCAGCCTGGATGTTTCTCAGAGCCAGGAGAGAACAGAGATTGAACCGTCTGATGGTCAAGACATGGACTCTGGGCTCAAGGTCGCTTGTGCCCCACAGAGGGCTGCAGGGGACCTGACTTGGAGGGGGTGGACCTCTGCTCTTCTGGAGAGATGGCTGTGGGCTATCAGAGCCAGGGGAAGGACAGAAAGGCTCCGTTAGCCAGCACTGTGTGCAACTGTGGCAGTGCGGGGAGCGAGGACGGCAGGAAGCAAGTTTGGCTCCAGCCTCCTTCAGAGTGACATGTGGAACCCAAGCACAGACCTCCCAGTGCCACCTTCCTGGGGCATCGAGGGAAAATCTCGTCAGGAGCAAACTGTCTCTGTTGGGCTGTATGACCCCTAAGAGACCCCATGTCTATGTGGTGCCCACAGTTTTTATCAGGAACACCCCCATTCCTGATTTCTTTCCTCTTTCACTGGGGGCAAGTCTGAGGATAACTGGCTGCTGCCTCCAGACCACTGCTGAAAGCCATTAACTCAGACTCTTCCTTCTGTGCTATCAAAAGAGTGGGTGTTTTGCCTGTCTCCCACCTTGGTGAAGGACTCCAGCAGGTAGTTGATGGTGATCCAGCCATAAGCTCCCTCCTCTTCTCCTGTAATGATCCGAGCCCCACGGAAAGCCACAGGGTACTCTTGCATGGTTTTAGCGATTTCGGCCAGGATCTGGTCTGCAGCTGAGCTGTTCCGTAGCCTAAGAAGGATTCAAAGGTCAGGACCCATACCCAACTACATCAGTACTGCAGAGGAAACACAAGAAACAGTTTGCCTTTTCACTTGAGCTTTTTGCAACAGGCAGATTGTGTGAAATGGTGTTTCCTGCTACATAACTTGTGGGAGCAGTTCACACAGCTTCTGCTGCCTAAATCCTAACTGTCCCACCATCTAGGCTCAGAATCACAAATCTAAGAGCCGTATTGACCTCTGCCTTCCAGTGCAGCTTGAGCCCAGTCACATAGTGGTTTGCCACCCTTTGCTACTCAAGTATCTTCATGGTGTTGAAGGCCAGAGGGGACCTTCAGAACAAGCTCATCTAATGTGATACATAACATAGGACATCAGAAAATCATGCAGTTATAGTACTATAAGAAGGGTTTAGGTTGGAAAGGACCTTAAAGGACCATCCAGTTCCAACCCCTGCTATGGGCAGGGACCCTTCCCACCAGGCTTCAGCCCCATCCAGCCTGGCCCAAGGCACAGCCAGGGATGGGGCACCCACAGCTCTTCTGGGCAGCCTGGGCCAGAGCCTCACCACCCTCATTGCATGGAATTTCTTCCTTATATCTAATGTAGACCTACCCTTTTTAGTTTAAAGCCATTCCCTCTTGCCCTATTACTCCTCTCCTTGACAAAGAGTCCCTCCCCAGCTTTTCTGCAGCCCCCTTTAGGCACTGGAAGGCCTCTATAAAGTCACCCTGGAGCCTTCTCTTCTCCAGGCTGAACAACCCCAACTCCCTCAGCCTGTCTCTGTAGGAGAGGTGCTCCAGACCCCTGACCATCTTAATGTCTTCCTCTGGACTCCAGCAGGTCCATGTCCTTCTAGTGCTGGGGGCCCCAGAGCTGAACGCAGGGCTCCAGGTGGGGTCTCACAAGAGCAGAGCAGGGGGGCGATCACCTCCCTTGCCCTGCTGGCCACGCTGCTGTTGTAGCAGCCCAGGACACAGTTGGCTTTCTGGGCTACAAGCTCACACTACTGGCTCATGTTTAGCTTTTCATCCACCTGCACCCCCACTCCTCCGAAGGGCTGCTCTCAATCCACTCATCACCCAGCCTGTATTTGTGCTTGGGACTGCCCCAACCCAGGTGCACAACCTTGCATTTGGCCTTGTTGAACTGCATGTTGTACACATGGGACCACCTCTTGAGCCTGTCCAGCTCCCTCTGGGTGACATCCTTTCCCTCCAGTGTGTCCACTGCACCACTCAGATCACTGTCATTTGCTACTTGCTGAGGGTCACATATGACCACCCACTGACCCCCTGCCAAAGCCAGAGCCAGCTGCTGAGCTCAGGGGTCTGTCAGGAAGGTGCCAGGCTGGATTCAGACCTCCGAGTGGGGCAGGTGTCCTGGGACTGTGGGTTTGTGCTCGCTCTCTGAAGCGAGTAAGCTTCAGGCTATGACCCAGCTCCTTCCCTGGAAAGGGATCAGATTACCAGGGCACAGAAATAATTTTAGAAATGTGCAACCGTAAAAGCAAAAACTGTGAAATGAAGGTTGATGTTTGAAGAGAGCTAATATTGGATGGGGAAAGGTCAGGACCCACAAACCCCTTTGCCTCCTGCCTCTGCCCTGTTTCCCACCAGCACCGATCCATCTAGGCATATGGCTCATCTGGGCAGATGCGGAACCCTCCTGGGCTGTGGGGTCCCAGGCTGCCAACGGGCATCTCTGAGCAGCCTCTCCAGACCAAACACCCAGGACAGCTCAGCAACCTGTGTGTCCCCACTGGTCTGGCGCCTCCCGCTCCCCACGGCCTGGCTCAAGGCAGCAGGAGAGCTGAGAGCAGGAGACGATGCTGTGCCACTGCCCCGTCAGCCCCGTACCCCACAGCAGTACCTCAGTAGCCTCATGCCTGCTGTTGCTCCAAGGTAAACTGGGACATCTCTCTGCTTCTCAGCGGGAACGACCTTCAGGGCTTTATCCAGGCACTCCTTTAGGGAATCACCGGCTTTTGGGGGATTGTTGGCATAGCTTGATATGCCTGGCCCTGGAAGAGAGTCAGGCTGGGACAAGCTGATGGGAAAGAGTTGAAGGAACAGGAGGATATAGGGCAGTGTCATCTGTCACCTCTTGGAACAACAGGTGTTTTGTCAGGGTCCCCTGGTCCTGCAGGACCTGGCTCACCCAGGTCTCCTCTTATGCTCCTCCACCTCTGAGTACTGGCCCACTGCACCTGTGCTCCCAGCCAAGCCCCAAGTAGGCATTTAACACTTGACCATGTTTTGTTACTGGGTCCCAGACGGAGGATGAAACTACAGAGGAGCTCCAAGACACTTCAGTCCCACCAAGTGTTTGGGCACTACCTTGTGCTTGAGGGCCCCCAGCCAAGAGCGAAGCCACAGTGGAGTTATGGACCCCCTGCCTGCAGCCAGGTGACACCGTGCCAGCAGTGACAGCCTGCAGAGGGGGTGCCCAGCTTGGGCAAAGAGCAGGAGAGCAGGTCACCCCGCCTGCCCTGTGAGCCCATGCCCAGGGGATACTGACCCTGGACGTCGCAGGACAAGGTCTGGCTGACCACACCGGTGTCATTCTCCTTGTCTGAGTCCCACTCGTAGACATACAGAGAGGTGTGGGATGAGCCTGCATCGAACACCATCCCGTACTGGAAGGAACAACCAAGACGTCATGCTGGAGGGAGGAGCAGCCTGCCCCTGGCCCTGCCAGGCTGCTCAGCCCCGAGGATGCCCCAAAAGCACCACTGCAAGGCGGTGAATGTACCCCAGACAGAGCGCAGCAGTGAAGGACACATCTGCCAGCACATGGCATGGCATCTCTCCCTGAGGGGCTTTTAATTGCCTCTGCTGAGCTCTGTTCAACAATGCCAGCTCACACAAGCATTCTCTTGGTGATTTCCTCATGCTTTCTTATTTTCTTTTTCTGTTAAACGCCTTTTGTATCTGCCCTGCCCCACCTCGGGGCCAGCAGCTCCCCAACCCCCTGCTCCCCCCCTGCTGCACCCAGCCCCACAGAGCCACACCTGTCCCTGAGCACCCAGCCACGTCACCCTCCCCAAAAAGCACTCTGGCTCCACTGGGACCCTGCACCCCTCTTCCAGCAGCCTCAACAAGATGCCAGGCTGCCAAGGGACAAAGGCCACATGGAGGGACTCTGCCCTACCCACCCGCTTCTTCATAACACATCAAGCACGCAGCAGGTTCCAGAGAAGGCTTCCCTCTGCTGCCTGGCAAGGAGTCTGGCCCCAGCCTGCTGTCAGTTGTTTCTCACTGCTTGCAAGCTCTTAATGCCATGCAGGAGCCATGATATGGCTGTGCTTGCTGCCCCGCAGGCAGGGCATGGAGACGCAGCCTCAGATGAAGGGCAGGAGCCAGCCAGAGGCAGCCCAGCATGCAGTGACCTGACTCCCATATGCCCAGGCTGTATTTCTTCTGCCTGCAGCTGAGAATGAAAGTAAAATGCCCACCCAGCTGATACACAGCAGGTGCCAGCACCCTCTTCACTCCTAACCCCGAAGACTAGCCATTGTCTCTGCTCACCTCCCCAGGGTGGCTGCTGAGGGACCCTCTTATGGCCTCACCTTGACCGTGGGTGGCAGGGCAACATCTTCAATCTTCACCAGGCTGAGAACAAGGGCAATGATGGAGAGTGTGACCAGGACCCCGAGGAGGGTGGTGGTGAAGAGCTTTTTGTTAGCAAACATTGTGGGAAGGCGCCTGCAAGCACACAGTGGAGAAAAGTGGTTGGACACGTCCACCTGGTCAGCAAGACTGAGGAGAGCACCCACAAAAGTTCTCCTGGGGGTGACACTATCTCAAACTCAAAAGTCCTGGTGCGTAGTCAGGTCTTTCCTTGAGAGCAGGAAAAAAAATGGTGGAGCTGAGGATAAAGGAGCCTGTCCCCAGAAGCCTGGCACAACCATGGGGGTTCACAATGGTCCTCCAGGTCCCACAGCCCCTCCAGCCCAGCTCACTGATGTGGGAAGGATCAGGTCCAGGAGGAAGAAAAGAAACACTGCACCAAACAGAGAAGGACATGGGAAATTCCAACAGACCCCACTGTAAGATGTTGTAGAAGGGAAAAGTGATTTTATTTTACAATAAAGTTCAGCTCACCTGTTAGTTCAGGAGCTGGCTTGTGAGTCCTCACTGTGGCTGTGGGCTCCTCCACTGCTGGCACCAAACCCAGCTTGGGCTCACCTTTTATATCCTTTGGAAGTGGACACAGGTTGAAGGTCTTCTCAACCTCATTTTGCCTCAAACCTCATCAGCCTTAAGCAAAACTCATGTTTGATTTATGCGTGTATTTATGGCTCAGCCTCCTTCTGCATCTTCCTGACAACTTATCCTTGCCCAGGTAGTTCCTCCTCCTCATTTGAATGAAATCACGCATAGGAGTCCTGCGGCTGTTAGCACATGCCTGTCTTTTAACCCGTTTAACCCTTATTCCCCTGCTCCTCTGGTGCTTTTACACACACGTTTCTGTTCTCTCCTTGCTCTGACCATTTTTAATCCTTCCATTACAAGTCTCTACAAGGTCTTTAAGAGGTGAGAGGGATGTTTCCAGTATCCACTGCTCTGCAACCACACACAAAGTGGAAGGTGACTTGATTAGAAGTTTTATTAAGATGAGAAGGATTCTCACACTGGAAGAGGAGGGGGGCCCTGCCAGGGATCTCAGCAGCATTCGGTGAGCTTTGCCAGAGGAGACACAAGAGCCCAGGAAGGAGGAAGTCTGCTTAGCCTGTCTGGGGCTGTGGTCACCCCTTCCTTGTGTGTGACTCGGCTATCACAAGACTGATTGCAGCAGGACTCAGTTCCCAGCTGCCTTATCTCAGCTGAGTCAAACAGAGAGTTGCCAGGACGGGGGAGCTGTCGGTGCATGATACAACTTTCCCAGAGCACCCTTCCCTGTGGCTGGAGGGGTGGTGGTTTTGGAGGCCCTGCTGTGTGCACTGAAGCCGAAGCAGCACCCTACAAAACGGGAAGCTTGGCCATCCCCTGGGTCCTCTGCTTCTGAATTCAGACCTTCAGGCCAGTCACTCTTTGGCAGCCTCCTTTGCACTGGTACATGCTGCTGGTGGGCTGCATTGAGCCCAAATGGTGCCACTACTCCTCTGCTCCTATCTCCACCTACCACACACCCTTTGGACTCAGGCAGCTTCTCTGGAAGAGGGTGATTGAGTGTCTGCTTCCTTCCTGGGTCTGAAATCCCCTGCTGCACAGCCTCCAGGTAGGGCTTTCCTGAGCAGAGGGGACTCATCCCCAGGCAGGACAGAGAGGCACTGCCCCCAGCTCCTCCATGCAGTGCTCTGCACCCCCACACACCAGACCCTCCATCTCCTGCCCCCGAGCAGGGCTGAGTGACTCCTCAGGCTGCTTTTCTTGGTCGATCAGTAGGAAATACAAAGTTCCAGAGGTCACATAACAACATCCATGTGGGCACAAGGGCAGTGAAGGACACACCTCGTGGGCCCACACTGAGGCAGCGGTGCATGGCTGTGGTGCACGGCAGGGCACCCTGGGCTGTGGGGAGCAGGGATGGGTGGCAGTGCCCCACATCTGCACCCAGCCTGGTGCACGTCCCGGCAGGGAGCTGGGACGCAGCTGGGGCCACACTCCAGGCGCAGAGCCTTGCGGTGCTGTCGTGTCCACCAGCACAGCTTCTGAGAGCAGAGGACACCTTGTGAATGTGGTGAGCAGGGTTACACATTCAAGTACATGGGATGTGTGCCACTGCAGGGGCGTGTGGCCCCGTGGTCCCACCCATTGTCTTCAGCACAGGAATCTGGTCCCGGTCCCTCCAGGAGCCGTGGTCACTGCAACGGGGCCTTGGAGCAACCTCCCCAGAGGAACCCAGCACCTTGCACCCATGAGTGGGGCCAGGACACATTCCCCTTCACCTGCTTCACCCAGTCATTCACCTTCCTCTTGGAAGGAGAAGTGGATGAGTCCTGGGAGGAAATGAGCACGAGCGAAAGCAGGAGAACCCGTTCCCTGGCACTTTCCCTGAGCAAAGAGCCCGTGTGAGTGCTGGGGCTGGCAGGGCTCGGTCGGGCTGCAGCTGGGGAGTGGGCAGCTGTCAGCACAGGCTCTGGGCAGGTGGGCACAGGGCAGGACAGGGGCTTTGCTGGGAGAGGCAATGCCGTCTTTAAATAGCTCAGTTAAAAGATCCAGTTGCTTACATTAAATAATCCTGAGCCAAGTCACGAGGAAATTTATTGACAAAACTCTCCCTGCAGAAACTTCAGGGAACAGAGGAAGGTGCAGAGCCCAACTGGGGCCAGGTAAAGGCTTGCTGCAGACCCCTTCCCAAACCTGCATCGTGTCCCCAGCATGCATCACACATGATGCACCCGTGCCTGCTCCCTTGGTGGGTTCACTTTCAGCCTGCATGAACAAATCAGGTAATTACCTCAGCTTTTACCTCCTTTGGGCTGGGCACTGGCCCATTTTCTTCCCCATTACTCCCCAGGAGGCACAAGGCTGGTTCCCCTCCCATCTGTGCTTGCCCCACGTGCAGCACTTTGCTCCTTCTCATGGGTGTCACTGTCCTGGCCAGGCTCTGCCAAGGTGACAACAGCCCTATCTTCATGCCAGAGAGTTACTGGGTGATGCCACTTGAAAGGGTGTCTGCCTGGGAAAGCACGGGCTGGGGCTGCCCGCACACCCTCGAGTGCTCTTTCCTGGCGCTGCTGAGCCCCAGCCTTGTTTGCCTTCAGGGATGTGCTGTGAGGAGAGCTGAATGTGCTGTTTGCTCATAACTGGAGACGTGACCTAAAGGTCACATTCTTCTTGCTGCAGGCTGACAGATCTGTTGTTGGGAGGTATTGAAAGAGAACATGCACACACCTATTGACATACATGTCTTTGTCGTTTTCCCCAGCCCTCCAGGTGACTCTTTGAGACCCAGAAGGAAGTTGCCGAGCTGCTGGAGGCTCAGCATGGTTCAAAGCCCATCCATGACTGCCAGCAGCTGGCACAGCTGCTGTTTGTGAAGTGAGATCCCCTCGGGTACTAACATCTCCCCTGGGCCTTCCTAAAGGACAGGATCCTGGGGGAAGGAGATCCTCTCATTTCCCCGCCAGGCAATTCCTGCACCAGCGGCCACCCCAGCTCTGGCCACAGCAAGTGCTGGTGCCTTGTGCCTGGCTGAGCTGCTCCACTCACTTTAGCTCCTCTTTCCCCTCCCAGAGGCTCCTAGGCCTCACTGCAACCCGTCCTAAGGAGGAACAACTCCAGCCATCCCTCCTCATCTGACTCCATCTGGACTGGTGGATCCGGGGACGTTTGCAGCTGCCTGTGGGATGCACACCCCTCATCCCTGCTGTTTCCCGCTGGCAGATAGCCGATCAGACCTTTCCTTCCTACCTACCATCTTTCCCTGAGTGTATAATTAATAAACATGCCCTGATTGCCACAACTGTGCCTGTCTTGGAGCCACCTGTCAGCTGTGGGTTCAGAAGCTCTGGGCTGGGGATGGGCACCTGGAGCCGGGCGCTGTGCCAGCCACACAGTGTGGGCACCCCAGGCTGTTCCCCCTCCCTGCTGCTGTGTCCTTGGTGGGGGAAAATCCATCTGGAGGCACGGATCTGCTCCAGCTCACATGAGTCTGGGGGGCCTGGCACGGGGGGTTCCCCTGGTGCCACCCTCCCAGCATGCTCGCAGACCTCATTGAGCTGCACAGACCCCTGTAGAGCCAGCAGAGCAGCTCACCAACAAAGTCCTGCCCTCCAGGTGTCCCTCCCACCAGCCACTGCTTTTTCCATCTCTGCACAAGCCTCTGAATTAACAAGAGCCACACAAGAGCATCCTAACATTGAGGTGCCCTTGCAGTGTTCATGGGTGCCTGCAGCAGCCACACACAAGCGGAGCTGTTGCTCCTGTCTCAGAGCTGCTGCTGGGTGACGTGCCCGGGGCTGCAGCATTACCCCTGATCACAGCACTGTGAGCTGCTGCTCCTGGTGATGGGTGAGATCAGAGATCAGGCAGGAAGGAGGCATCCAGGCTAGGTACCATCCAGGGTATTTCCTTATGAAGAAACTGCTGCTAAAATTAGGGAGAGGAGGGGAGGGGTATCTGTTTAATCTGTCAGCAGTTATTGGTTGTAATAATCACGGACCTCCCTAGACCCCAGTGTGGTTAGCTGCACAGGAAACCTTCCCACCCCCCTGCTGCATGCTGCTTCCCAAAAGTCCCATCTTCCAGCTAAACACTTGAATTTCTGCCAGGCGCTGAGCTGGGGCACCTGCCCTGTGTGTGGGCTGGCCCTGGTGCTGAGCGTCCTGTGGCACTGGGATGGGGCTCAGTGCAACAACACCTGCATCCTGAGACTGATGCTGTCAGTGAAAATACCAGGACTTTGATACCGAGGGGGCAGCTGGTTGAGCACCAGTGCTGTGGTGATGGGCTGGGAGCTGTGTGCTGTGGAGCAGAGGAATGGGCTGTGAACCATGTTGAGGGATGCTCCCAGAGGTCGGGACTGCTCCCTGCTCACGGCTGCCTTGCCAGGAGGTGAGAGCAGGATGTGGTTGGGTGTCTAGGATCTGGCTCACCAGAGCCCCAGCCACAGCCTCTCCTCTGGCCCTGGGTGTCCTGAAGCTTTTTCTTTCCTGAGAACAGAGAAATGAGGCTGAAGCACCCTTAGGGCAGGATTTTCCCTTTCACCTGTGTCACAAGTGCTGGGAGACAGCATGGAAGGAGGCTGAGGTGAGCTGATCTGGCAGGGTTTGATTTCCTTCATTCAACATTCAACAGGGCCATAAGGAAACAAGCCAGAAGGTGGAACGATGACGTGGTGGAGGTTTCCCTCAGCATGCCTGTAGGCTATCTGCGGGAGACCAGGAATCTCTTGGGCCCTGGGAGGTCTCCCTCCAGCTGCCAAACTGGTTTGGACAAGGGCAGCTGGGCTGTGATGGAGCCGCTCCCCTGCCATGGTCCACGTCCCTCCTCCCCTGCTTGGTGGTCCCACATCGCCAGGCGGTGCTGCTGCAGCACCTCGCTCTCTGCAGAGTCTCAGCAAAACTTCTGAGCTGCTGCAGGGAGGGCACCATTTCTGCAACCTCCCATACAAACCTCTCCTCCTCCCTGTGCCACCCCACCCCAGCTGCTCCCCTCTGCACTGTCAGCCCTCACTGCACACTTCTCATCACATCATTCCAAGAGTGGTAATGCAAAATGGACCTATGCTTTCAACCAGAACTTTGCCAGCATTAAATTATTCTATAAAATTATAGGTGGAGACCTAGGATTGTCAGTCATGAACCTGGGGACTGCAGCAGCCCAGAGCACCCATGTCAGGACAAAGACATTGGTGCTGTGTGCTCACAGGGTGACATTTTGCTTTTGCCCATATTGGACAAGGACACCCCAATCCACCTCTGCATCCCATGATCCCAAAGGGTGAATGATCCATTGTTTTTTTCCTTTCCTGGATACCTTCTCCTGTTTGTTAGAACCTTCTGAAATCTGAAAGATGGCCCCAAGGACACGATCATCCTCTCCTAGCAGGGAGCCACCAGCATGTCCCTGTGCATCCTCTTCATCCCTTTGGCCAGATCACAATTATAAACAGTGCTGCAAGGCTGCCTTGTTTGAGCTCCAGGCAGCCCCACTCACTTGTACAAACCACTGAAAACAGCTGTGCAGGCTCCTTGTGACTATTTTTCTTACAGTTACAACCCAAAAGAGCAAAAAATCTAATAAAAATGAAGCTACAGGACTCTTTTATTTCCTGAGGGGGTGTCACTCATAAAAGAAGGATGCCACATTGGATTTGCATGGTTTCTTGACAAACCGAGATGAAACACTACTTCTCTCTTCATTTTCTTGGGACACTCCAATAACGTTTTGACTGCCTGTCCCAGTACTCCCAGCAGTTCAAAGCTGAGCCACCAGGGCTGCAATCTGCCATTTCCTATGTGGAGGTAAAACACATCCCAAGCACAGGAGCTTATTGAAAACAAAACAAAGCTAATTTATGGGGATTCAGAAAGAGGTGGGAAGCTGGATGGCAGCAGGTGGGAGCCATGAGGGAACCTGCAGGCAGGGCTCTGTGGTTGCTGCTGGCAGGGCTGTGCTGTGTTTCTCTTGTTTTCCTGGTAGGACAGAGCTGGTGCCAAGCCTCTTATCGTGGTACAGGGAATGTGCGAGATAGCTGACCACACTGGTACCACATCCCAGGCAATAATTTGGTGCTGGGCTCTCACCACATGGCCCAGGTCCTGCTGGTGGAGGAAGAGACCAGAGGACCTGCCCTGCTGCAAACACTGCCTTTGCCACCCTAAACTGCCATCCTGGCTCTCCCAGGATGCAGGGATGCTGCAGCTGTGATATGCCGGGTGGCACCAGACTTCCCTTTAATGTTTGAGGGCCTTAAATAAAAAGGGAGGAAAGTAGAAAAGCAGACTGAGAGCACAGGATGGCGTGGGAACCACACCAGCAGTGGAGGTGGGCAGCGTGTTCCAGGCAGCTCCAGGGGCAGAGGAGAACCCGTGGAGATTTCTCCTTCAAAGCACAGAAGCTGCTCACAGAGCCCTGGTTATAGGGCCGGGACACTGCTGAGCAGCCTGCAGCAGGGGGGTTTCCAGCTCTGCTCTGCTTTTAGCATCTCTCCCCACTGAAATGGCTGCTCAGGCTGCAGCCTCCAGCTGCGCCCAGCAGCCCACAGAAGCCCCCAGCACCAGCAGCAGCAGCGGTGGGGTTGCAGAGGGGCTGATCCTGCCCCAGCTGTGACTTGCCCTTGGAAGAAACTCCTGCACCACAAGGCACCGTGCAAACCTCTGGAGTGATCCAAGCATCAGAGCCAGCACAGAGAAGGCTCCCAGGCCATGGTGATTTGAAACATGTTTCAGCTAATTTAGCAATAAAAATCTAAGCTGCACTTGCAAGAATTGACATTTCCTTAAAGATATGCATGGATGAGAGCTGGATATGGAGTTAATGTTTTGGCTGTGAATCCTTTCAGCATGTGAAAGTTACCAAAGCCACGAGAAAAACCTGAATGAACGCACTGCTGGAGATGTACATCAGAACCTTCCTTCGCTGAGTGGCACCCGCCCAGCCCATGGCCAGCAGCCATGCATGGGTGCTTGGGGTGCACCCAGCCTGGGCAGCCCCAGCCCCTGCCCGCAACCAGCAGCTGCTGGGTCCCTGCAGCTCAGCTCATCCCAGGGAAGGCCACAGAAACCAGCCGGGTTAATGATATGTTCTGGGCTTGCCAAAGTCAGCCACTAGCCAGGAAAACATGTAATTCCCACTCCTGGCAACCATGTATTGTCTATACACACGTGGTAAAGCAGGATGATCCTTCCTGATCTTGGTGCCTCACTCCTGACTCTACAAACATCTGAAAGCTGCTCCACCACCCCTGGTTTCCTTCCATGCATGCCTTGGCCACAGTCCCCCATCATTCAGAGCAAAGATGCAGGCACAGACTGGTGAGTGGGGTGTACATCCTTTGACGGTGGGAAGGGAGGCATCTAACCAACTCCTGAGCACCAAGGGGTGAACTTGCCCTCAGTTCTGGTCATAAGTATCCAAGGATTAAATGACAATGTCAGACAATCATCCAGTCATCCAAGGATTGACAACCAAGGATTCATCATCCAAGATGACAACCTACAGACAACATCTGGTATGGGCAGTGTGGGACAAGAGTCGGTGAGACTGGCCAGGGTCAGCTGGAAAGGGAACCACTCCAGTTAAGGGCTTCTTTCTGAGCAACTGATGGTTTTGCCTAAGCTGTCTTTTGCTGGCACATGTGAAAATGAATGGTTGAAAGAAATAAATCATCCAGGCTTGCCACCAGGATTGCTAATCCTCTGCAAAGAGCATTGCAAAAGGCTGGATAGTTTCAAGCACAGAGAGCATCTGATGGAGATGCTTTAGCAAAGGCTTTGTTCCACCCACAAACCCCAGTCTCTGGGGTGAAAGAGGTGAGGCAACCCTAGGCAGGAGCTGCTGGGAGCCCCGGGTGCACGGCTTGGCACCACTGCTGCAGCCTGGCCAGGAGCCGCAGGACCTCACAAGGGCATACTTACAGGAGATGAATGGAGATATTTGAGATAGTCATGCTCAGCCTCAAAGCCCAAATGAAGTTAGGCCTTTTGTTCCCATTGCCCTCAGGAAACACAGCAAGGGTCCAGCCCAAGCCTTTTTGGCAGACGTCGTTGTTCCTGATGCGAGTTCTGAGCACTAGGGCTGGATGGACAGACAGCAGCAGAGCTGCAGGACTGCTGGAGCCTGGTAGAGGTGAGGGTGGTGGTTGCTGGGTGGCTGGGCAGTGCTGGATAGTTCTCCCTCATGGCCCTGGTGCATCTTACCTAGGTTATTGGGGTTTTGTCCTTGTGAGAACTGGAGGTGGGAACAGGCTGACTAATGGCATCTTCATTCCCTGTTCCCTTGACCTTTCCACACTGTCTT